CCCCCCCGGTAAACCCCCCACCCCGGCCCCGACCCGAACACACCCCCCCACCCCCTTCAATTGCACCCCACAAGTTGATTTTGACTTTGGGTGGGGGGTTTACCGGGGGGGGTTAGGGGGGGTAGGAACCGTCAATTTTACGAACGGGGTACCGGAGCGGCCCCGGGTCATCCTATGACATTAAGGTTCAATGTCATTTGAACCTTCCCCTATATATATATATATATATATATATATATACACTTGGCATTTGATTAGATTATAAGAGGTCTATCAAGTGCATGATATTGATGATGATGATGTTGTTGTTGTTATTATTTTTATTATTATTACTACTACCTCCGTCCTAGAGTATTTGTCCACTTTCATTTTTACACTATCTAATACACTTCTTTAATCCGTTTTATCTTGTAATTTGTATATTAAAAAATTATAGAAATTATATATTAATAATCTATATGTTAAGACAAATCAAACAAGATCACACATGACTATATTTAGGCTTACACATTGAGAAAATTTGATGAGTCAAATTGCTTAGATAAATAGTTCCAAAAGTCAAAACTAGACGAATACTCCGGGACGGAGGGAGTATTAATATTAATATTAATATTAATATTAATATTAATATTAATATTGTTATTGTTATTGTTATTGTTATTGTTATTGTTGTTATTGTTATTGTTGTTGTTGTTGTTGTTGTTGTTGTTGTTGTTGTTGTTGTTGTTGTTATTATTATTATTATTATTATAGCTAGGTCTATATATCAAGCAGTGAAACTGCATTGAAGAACCCTCAACCTCCCACTATCTTTTCCAAATAGTTTCTGAATATAATACTGGCATGGATATTCCTAGCCTCCTCCACAGTATCCTAGTCTTGCAGTGTTTTACGGTTTTACGGCCCCGTTTTGCCTTCAAATGACCAAATAGACTTTAGATGTATGTAAGTAGTAGCTTTAAAACAAGCATATATTCATACACACACCACAACATTTGTATTACTAAAACATTCATTTAAAAGCAGAAAACATCACACAACTTATAATCAATCAAATGAAAGTAAATGTAACTGGGGAAGTTGGTACTTGCCACTTGATGGAATTAGAGGCTTTTCTTCATCAACTCCTGTTTCAACAGAACTCTAAGCAATACCAGTTTGAGTGCTCGTCTCACCAGGTCGGAGTTGCACAGTTGCAGCAATGGGATTTAGGTGCAACTGCATGTAAAACAAAACATGGGCTAAACATTCACATTGCATACCATTGAATAGACTTGTGAAGTCTTGGCAACATCCATAGCAGAGTTTTAATAATAATATTAAAAAAAAACATCTTAAGTTTCAATAAACTTACACTGAACTCTGAGTTCTCAACTTCATTAACCTCTAATCCCCGAGCTTCACTGACGCATGTGTTCTCGGTTTGACTCACTCATGTCTTCTTTGCTTCACCCTCCTCTTCCGTATTCAACTTGAGGCTGTATTCCACTGCCAATTGCTTTTCTGCTGACTTTTTTGACCAAAAAAAAGAACGGAGTAGTTATGTTGTTGCATGTGTGAATGGTAAGAATATTGCTCGTACACAAGTCACCAAACCATTTTCTTTCGTCATAGAATCAATAAAAACATACATATAAACAAAAGTTATCCGAAACATTTCCAAGTACGTACAAACATATAAGAACACGCCACACAAATTAAAAACTAAATCCGTTTAAAAACTAGAGGAATGAGCATTCATATGATAAAGATATGCTTTAAGCTGGTATTTAAGCTAAGGTTGTTGCTGATATCCTTCACAGTCGTATCCTTATTCTGGTTTTATTGTTACGAGCTTTCCAAATAGCATAACAGGCAGCAACAAAGATAACCCCAAGAATAAGCCTCTTTTCCCTTGTGTGAAAAAACTCCATTTTTGCTTCAAGTCAACGGTTAATTGCTTATCGGCATATTCTCATATCACTTTAAGTGTAGGGCAGATTGGACATGGAGTGATATGAGGATATGCCAATAAGCAATCAACCGTTGACTTGAAGCAAAAATGGAGTTCTTTCAGACAAGGGAAAGGAGGCTTATTCCTGGGGTTATCTTTGTTGCTGCCTGCTATGCTATCTGGAAAGCTCGTAACAATAAAACCAGAATAAGGATACGCAACAACCTTAGCTTAAATACCAGCTTAACGCATATCTTTATCATAGGAATGCTCATTCCTCTAGTTTTTAGATGGATTTAGTTTTTAATTTGTGTGGCGTGTTATTATATGTTTGTACATACTTGGAAATGTTTCAGATAACTTTTGTTTATATGTATGTTTTTTTTTATTCTATGACAAAAGAAAATGTTTTTGTGACTTGGGTACGAGCATTATTCTTACCATTCACACATGCAACAACATAACTACTCCGTTCTTTTTTTTGGTCAAAAAAGTCAGCAGAAAAGCAATTGGCAATGGAATACAGCCTCAAGTTGAATACAGAAGAGGAGGGTGAAGCAGAGAAGATAGTGGTGAGTCAAACCGAGAACACATGCGTCAGTGAAGCTCAGGGATCAGAGGTCAATGAAGTTGAGAACTCAGAGTTCAGTGAAAGTTTATTAAAACTTAAGGTGTTTTTTTAATATTATTATTAAAACTCTGCTATGGATGTTGCCAAGACTTCACAAGTCTATTCAATGGTATGCAATGTGAAAGTTTAGCCCGTGTTTTGTTTTACATGCAGTTGCACCTGAATCCCATTGCTGCAACTGTGCAACTCCGACCTGGTGAGACGAACACTCAAACTGGCATTGCTTAGAGACCTGTTGAAACAGAGTTGATGAAGAAAAGCCTCTAATTCCATCAAGTGATCAGCTGGCAAGTACCAACTTCCCCAGTTACATTTACTTTCATTTGATTGATTATAAATTGTGTGATGTTTTCTGCTTTTAAATGAATGTTTTAGTAATACAAATGTTGTGGTGTGTGTATGAATATATGCTTGTTTTAAAGCTACTACTTAGGCCCTATTCCGTTCAACTTATTTTTTCTTATTCTTATTAAAATCAGACCAGATCCAATCAGATCAGATCAGAACTTATTAAAAGCAGATCCCATCAAGAATTATTATTATTGTTATTATTATTATTATTATTATTATTATTATTATTATTATTATTATTATTCTTAAAAATGAAAAAGAATAAACTTTAGAAACAGGTTAAATAGAAAACTGAGAAAGTAATCCTTAATTATTAGACGTTGGAAAAATTAGTTTTAAAATACATTGACAATGCCAATCTAATTTTACTTTTAAAATATATTTTTATTGCTACTTGTAATTTGAGTTTCTAAAATTTTGATCTTTTATAAGGATGATATATTTTAATAAAAATACAATCTCTTCTATATATTGATTATCTAAATTTAATTACTTTTTAATGTATATATAAATTAAATATTTATTCTAATGTATATATGAAGTAATATTAAATTAATATTCTAATTTTACAAAAAAATAATCATAAAATAAAAAATATTATTACATTATAATATGAATGATTATTCTAATATATGAATTAACTAATTTTATTTTATTAAAAAATAATCATTAAATAAAAAATATTGATTATATTATAATATGAATTATCATCACAATTTTCAAACGTTATCATAAAGTCAAATCATAATTAATCAGATCAGATCAGATCCTATCAGATCAGATCCAATCAGATCAGATCAAAACTTATTAAAATCAAATCAGATCAGAAAAATAAGTTGAACGGAACGGAGTCCTATATACATCTAAAGTCTATTTGGTCATTTGCAGGCAAAATGGGGCCGTAAAACAGTGCAAGACTAGGATACTGTGGAGGAGGCTAGGAATATCCATGCCAGTATTATATTCAGAAACTATTTGGAAAAGATAGTGGGAGGTTGAGGGTTCTTCAATGCAGTTTCACTGCTTGATATATAGACCTAGTTACTAGCTATAATAATAATAATAATAATAATAATAATAATAATAATATATTATTATTATTATTATTATTATTATTATTATTATTATTATTATTATTATTATTATTATTATTATTATTATTATTATTATTATTATTATTATTATTATTATTATTATTATTATTATTATTATTATTATTATTATTATTATTATTATTATTATTATTAAATAATAATAATAATAATAATAATAATAATAATAATAATATCATGCACTTGATAGACCTCTTATAATCTAATCAAATGCCAAGTATATATCATATATATACTAGAGCATTATGGCATGTCTACACTTTAAATATATATATATGGAGTAATGCTGTGGATCATGTCTGTTACTCTTCACATTATATTAAGCTGGGATAGATGCTCATCCACCGGACCAAGTTTAGGTGTCTTGCTTTTCTTATGATCCATTACCCCCCACCCCCCCAAATGCTATTTTATAGGAAGCGTTATTTCTTAACTTCAGTTAGCATTTGGGTAATTAACTTCTATTAGTATTTAAGGTATAAAATATGTGTTTTATTTTAGTTAGATTGGTTTTCCACATATCATCTAATTTTCGACCTATGAATGTGTGATTTTTTTGGTATGGTTTTGGCATGGTACAATGTTAGACCGCCCTTATTTAAAATGAAATGGTACCAATAAATGATTTTAGGGACATACCGTGCCGAAAACTTTGTATATTTTTAATCAATTTTGGATGCATTAATCTTACCCGGTGTATTATTTTAAAAATATATACTTCCTTTTAATCAATTTCGGTTGCCGTCAATAAAGAGTTCCTGAACAGTCGATCACCACACAGCCTAGCGGGGTGGAAGCGGCATTAAACAACTTGCCAACATGATGACAAATGTTATGGACAGATTGGAGACCTTTCCCGGTCCTTTTGGGGTCCCGAGGCAGATCCCCTAGACGCAGTCGGAGCAGATGAATCACATTCTGCAAGAATTCCACACTACGGAGGAGATTGAACTAGAGAGAGGGGCAGTAAAAGGACGTCTTGAGGAAGAGTTGGCCCAGAATACACGAGAGTACGACAGGCTAACTCGGGCAAAGACTCGGTCTTTGAGCGAATGACGCAAGGGAGAATACCGGTCAGTGCACGACAGGAAGAGAATCCAGAGAAAGCCCCGCTTGGATGAGAACCACTCCAGCCGAGCCACATTGAATCATCAAACCGAGATCCGCGGCGCACCAGATCGCGGGCTGAGCCAAGACAAGTTGCAGAAGATGAAGCCCACAACCAGGTCCGGGTCCCGGCATCTCAACGCATGGGCAAGCCCAATCCGGGAATGGGGGATTTCCAAGATTTACAATGCCAAATCCAAGAGATGCAGCAGAGGTTAAACCATTGCCGGGTCTTTACAACCCGGATGAATACCCGGTGGGATTTAAGGTCCCATTTGTCAAACGATATCATAGGGAATCGGATCCCCAAGAGCACATGAAGAGTTACGTGCAGATGATGATAGCCGTGGATACGACAGATGCTGTTTTTTCCAGATCATCGATAATAAGGTGGCGGACTGGGTCAACCATATTCCTTCCAAGTCGATCTGGACCTGGGACCAGTTGGGTATGGGCTTCTTGGAGCATTTAGCTGGGAATTGCTGTCCGAAGAAGCATTTCACACACTTGGCTTCGATGTGCCAGAAAAATGGAGAATCCTTGAAGAATTTTCTAACACGCTGGAGGAAGGAATCCATGGATATGTGGCTTAAATTCTATGTAGTGTGATAATGTGATAAGATAGGCAGAAAGATTTTTTTGGACGGGGGAGAGAGAACTTAATTAAACGAATGTTCTAGCAAAAAAATTACTCTGGATACTCTCTACCTACCAGGGCACCATATTATCCTAAATAACTTAAGAGATACTTAAAAATTTTAGTAATGTACTCTAAGGGTACATTCCGTAGAAATTACTGTTATAAGTTAACAATCCATTAATTTGACATATTAAACACCTTAAAATTCATATGACGCTCTTATCATAATGACTCTCGGTAGCTCAAGTTTTATACTAAAAACATATACTAGATCAATTAGGAACATATGAAAAAAGAGATTACACATGAATACAAGATAAACAAACGTAAATCAATACACATAAAAGGTAAACGATAATAAAAAAGAGGAACAGACAAATTAATACGCAATGAATAAAAAAGCTTAGAGCCATTAAAATATGAAAGAGAGGGTTGGCTATGTTATGAAGCCCTTTTGATATCTCATACTGTTTCGGTATGAAGAAAAAAATGCTTTTGAGATATTATAAAAGAAGCGATATGTGCTCCTTAAAAAAGCATACCTTTCTCGGCCTTGTGACTAAGACCAAATGTAGTAGTTGTTCTTATTAGTTTAATATCTTATATATGGGCCAATGGTCCACACGATATTAAGTTAACTTTTTAAGGGGTAAAGCCCATCAAAATCCACTACCCTGGGTTGTGATATCCCCTGATAGGTATGCATCATTCCCAAAATTTAAAGCATCCATATATTGTCCAAGCTCGTCCATTGTATGTGCCTCAAATACATCAAGCACTTGAGTACTTGAATCTAGTGCATTTGATCACATCTCCGGTAACACTTTTGTTTTATCCAATGTTTCTAAACAAGGTAACTTGCCCATAATCACGCTAGCAATTGGACTTCAAACACATGCTATGTGGATTGCAACAACTCTTTCACACACATTTTTACCACTCAAATTAGTGTTATTTGTTCCCACAAGTTCCTTTAATCTTGTGTCAGTTAGCATACCTACTCAATCTCCTAATTTTTCAATAACCTTTTTCTCTAGTTCCGTGGTTATTTGGGACCGATGCATGGGGAAGATGATTTGCAAAGGACGTGAGTCTCGGGGACTTTTTGTTCTCAATTTGCCAGATTCTATTGCATGTGTGTCTATCGAGTCAACAATTACTTTACATAATCGTCTTGGTCATCCTTGTTTTGGAAAACAATAGCGTATGGTAACAGGTTTACCATGTCAATCACCCTAGCTTTGATTTGAGTCATGTCATCTTTGAAAACAACCCTGGCCTATAAGTCTTTTCCAAGAAGAGTCAATAAACAGGCAACATCTTTGTTTGATCTAGTCCATACTCATGTGTGGGGGCCATATAGGGTTAAGTCTACAATGGGATTTCAATACTTTGTAATCTTTGTTGATGATTTTTCCCAATATACTTGGTTATATTTAATGAAATAATGTTTTGAACTATTTGATATATTCCAAAAATCTTGTGCGGAAAATCAAACTCAATTTGGTCATACCATAAAAATCATTCATAGTGATAATGCCAAAGAATTTTTCAGTAATCCATATAACAAGTACATGGCATCCAAGGGGATGTTTTAGCAATCCTCTTGTGTTGATACACCACAGCAAAATAGTGTTGAAGAATGAAAGAACTGCCATCAGGTAGACATTGCACGCACTATGTTACTACACTCATTCACTCGCACATTTTTTGGCACATGTCATACTTAGTGCATGTTATCTTATTAACTGAATGCTTTCCTCTGTCCTCAATAATGATATTCCATATTCCATCTTATTTCCAAACAAAGAACTCTTTTCCTTACTAACTCGAATGTTTGGGAGTGTTTGTTTTGTTCATGACACTATGCCCAGACAATCAAAACAATGTTTGCCCAGTCAATTAAGTGCATTTTTCTTGGATATTCTAGACTCCAAAAGGGATATCGGTGTTACTCACGAATGTCACAAAAACATTTTGTTTATGCAAGCGTCACATTCATCAAATCTTCTTTCTACTATCCAAATTCTCAAGAAGAGATATCTCATTTATCCGAGTTTGTTCCAAATCTTTGGACCGATCTCACCAGTATCAAATAATTAACTCTAACACTATAGACTCACCACTTGAATCTGTCACACCACCACCTAATATTGTTCCACAACAACCTCATTATAGGCTTATCATCGTTGACCTTGTCCTCCTCAAGAGGTTCAGGATGTTAAGTCTACATACAATTCATCTTCTTCTGATTCGAATCTAGACTATGAGGATCTACCAATTGCTCATTGGAAAGGTACACGTTCCACTCTTAACCCATGTCCCGTTTATAATTTTCATAGCTATCATCGTGTCAACACTTCATATTCTTTGCTTCTTTCTCATTTATCTGATGTTCCAATTCCGAAAACTCAAGGGGCTCTTTTACATCCGAGATGGAGACAAGCAACGGTGACAAACATGGAGGCTCTTCGGTCTAGTAGGGCATGGGACCTTGTCCCACTCCACCAAACAAGAAAATGGTAGGATGCCGATGGATCTACACAGTGAAAGTTAATGCAGATGGTACCATTGATCGTTTTAAGGCACGATTGATTGCTAAAGGCTAAACTCAGATATATGGACTAAATTATACGGATACTTTTTAGTTTTTCCCCAATTTTTTAACTTTCTTCAGTTCGACTAGTCTAATTCATGGCAGCGATGAGTCATCAGTCATTGTTGCAGTTAGATATTAAAAATGTTTTTCTTCATGGTGATTTACAGGAGGAAGTTAATATGGAGCAACACTAGGTTTTGTTGCTTGAGGGGAGTATAATCTCGTGTGCAAACTAATTAAAGCAATCCCTATACGGTTTAAAGAAACCTCTGCGTGCTTGGTTTGGTCGCTTTAGTAATGTTGTTCAATCATTTGGCATGCAGAGGAGTGATGTTGATCATTCTGTCTTTTACCAACAGCCGACCTCTAACGGGTGTATATATTTAGTGGTTTATGTTGATGATACTATTATTACAGGCAGTAACAAAGGAGTTGTGAAATTAAAGAAGCATTTATTTGATACATTTTAAACTAAGATTTGGGAAAGTTGAAATATTTTCTTGGCACTAAGTTGCACAATCAAGTGATGGTATTGTTCTCTTTCAGAAAAAATACGCTCTGGACATCCTTGAAGATACGAGGATGCTAGAATGTAAGCCCATGGATCCAAATCTCAAGCTTGTAGGGGAGCAGCTATCTAATAAAGAGAGCTATAGAAGACTTAATGGCAAATTCAAAAAAATCAAGAATAGAAAGAGAAAGAGAATTATAGAGAGAGAAATAAAATTATAAAGAGAGAGAGATAGATAGAGAAAGTTAACAATGAAACAAATAATTAACAATATAAAAGTAATTCCCTAAAAACGATATAAAAGTAATTAAATATTGCATCAACAGATAATTGAGTAAAACAAGTTTATTAATTTTTTTTTGTAAATTACATTTTAATAGTTATACACGTTTTTCCAATTTCGCTTTTGGCTACCGTTTCTTTTGGTTTGCCTTGTTAAAGTTTTATAGAGGACCGTTCAAAAATGGTTAACTGGTTAGATTCAAAATATGGTTCAGACCAGATGTCTTATGATCTAATTCGATGACCTTTACCCCTTTCTAAATTCTATCACCACGTATTATATTTGTATTTTTCTCATAATACTCTTCTACAATTTTTCCCTCTCACAACAATTCGTGTTAAATGTTCCCACACGCCTAATGCATACCTATTGCTAACACTATGTTCGGGTCAAGGAACTTGAGAGGGAAAGGAAAAGAAAAGAAATGAGATGAAAAATAATATTTTAAGTTTGGTTAGAGTGGAAGAAGAAAATTGAAAGGAATAGAAAATTAGAAGACAAAATAAGGTAGGAAGAAGGAAAATTGGATTCTTTTCATTTTGGTGAGAAAAAAGGAGCGAAACCATTTTCTTTTCAATTCCTTGAACCAAAAGTAGGGTTAATGAAAAAACAAAAAAACATCTAGAAGTGATAGTTGGATGCACAAATAAAGGCCTCACTTTTCATTGATGCATTACTTTTCATTGGAGAACTTTTGATTGGAGAAGTCAATTTAAAAAACTTTCTTCTTTAAAACTTTTACAAGGCAAACCCGAAATTAATGGAAAGTGCAAAGCCAAATTGAAGTAATGTCTTATTATTATCAAATTAATTTACAACAAATACAACTTTTCAAACTCAATTGTTTGTTGACGCAATAGTTGATTGTGCTTGTGTGGTTAGTTACTTCATTATTAAATATATGTGGCATAGTTTTTGTAGAGATAATTAATGAATTTAAGTTTCTAGTGTTACATATGTGTTTTGAAAATCAGGCTGGACGTCTAACCGGAAAAGCAAGTAGGTCAAGGGTTAATCGGTCGAACCAAGTTGATGACCCGGTCAACATATCGATACCTATTCCCACATGTTAATGTGTTCTTATATACTATGTAATATTCCAGAATTATATTTCGTTGATTGAAATAACAAGAAAAATAAAAAAAACAAATAAAAAGTGACGTGTTAAATTATAATTAGTACGGAGTATATATTACGAGTACTTGATTTTCAAAGATGATCATAACTTGTTAAGTTTAAATGATTCGATGCATGCATGTGCCCGTTGTGAACCGGACCGGTTTCATGTTCAGGTCACGGCAGTCTGGTCTGGTTTCAATAATATTACTTACATTTTGGTCTTAGAGAATAAAGATTTAAAACAGTGTTTGAAAAACTTACTTTGACTAATGAAAATTGAATCACTTGTATATTTGTATGGAGTATTTCACAACTCTTGATAAACTGCCCTAAAGAAAATTTGAGGACGAAACTTTTGTAGGGTGGGGAGAAGTGTAACATTAGTGTTCGTTTATATATGGTTTCTAATTTAAATAGTTCATATCCTTTTTTTATAACCCAAATTATGTATGGAAACATCACACCAAGTTATATCCAGCTTTGGGCACACAATTTTGAACTCTGAAAACATTAACTCATAGATGTAGATGATATTGCATGGTACATTGAACCCACACAGACACCCCTCTCTGACCAAAGAAAGTGGTATGAAGAAAAGAGAGTACATACTTTTTGGTGCAGGTGAAAGAGTTCAATTAGGGAGTAGTTTGCGAGTAACAAGCCCTCAAGATCTCCTCTATTGGTGGTTCATCTCCTGCTTCCTTGTCCTGCACAAAGTTCAATTTAAACTACCTGCCTACATACTCCCTCTATCTCGTGGAAGGTTTCACATTCCGTTTTTCTTTTTCTTGTGCACGAAATAAGGTTTCAGCCGTTTCACATTGCCTTTAAGGAAAGAATTATGTGGTTCATATTGTTTCTCTTTGCTCTACGTAAGTGATTAGTCTCAACTACACTGTTCCATTTTTCTTAATAACTGAGAGCCCACTTTAATATGGAACCTTATTTTGGGACGCATAGAGTATTTAGTATGGAGAGCGAAAGCATTTGGAGGAGGGGGGGGGGGGGGGAAGGATAAGACCCCACCTTGTGGATGTACAATATGTTAGTTTTACCGGGACCTGCAACAATTATTCCACCTTGTTGCCTGAAAATTTTACCGGCACAATATGATTAGGTATGTCGTGTCCATAATTTTCTTTTTTAAAATCAATGCAAAGAGAGTATTGTTCTTTGGCTAAGAACCCTTCATGAATGTTGGCATCAGATTGAATCAAAGGACATAGACCAATACTCAAAGTGTGTAGTCTGAATATTACATACCAACCGCCTCGTTCTCGCGTGTCTTTCTCAAAAGAGATCCCCCAATTCTGTCTGTAACCTTCCATGTACGCTTGTATGGTTTTCAAACCGGCCTGCAGTTATATTATACAGCAAGTTATCTTTATGTTTTGACTTTTGATATTCCAATTTCTGCACAAGATTACATACTTTAGCAGTGAATGTGGTTGAAATGCCAGACACGAATCCGAATGCCTCATATNAGTAATTTGCATTATAAAGTGGCATGGCATCACATTTGTTTGCTACGGATGCATTGGTTTTCTCTCTTCCGGAAAGGTATATGACTTACTTCGGGCTAATATACTAAGAGAACATGGATGCCGTGGATCTGAAACTCAAGAAGAATCAAATTCCTCCAAAAAAATTCATTTATTGTTTGGCATTCAGAATAGACTGCCAACCAAAGATAATTTGGGAGCCAGTTTGTGGATGGCTTGTGAAGAGTGTTGTCTGATGAGTTTTGGTTGTGGTGTGACCCAATGACCTTGTACATAACAATACTCTTTTGGGTCAATAACAATTTATTGTTTATTGAAACAACTAGAAGAAGAAGCCATTCAAATCCTTAATAAGCTTACCTCCTTTAAATTTAGTTTGTGCAGCAAATGTCTTCGCCTGAAAAAGATAAAATAAAACCTTTGTAACCTTAATGTGTTTAGCGTCCAATGCCAATGGAGAGAAAAGAGTCATTTCTGACATTGTTTAGCTTTGGGTAATAACAGATTACATCAAAATGACAGATTAAATTTCATGTCTTACTTTTTTTATTTGAAGTTTTTAGCAGTAAATGTATCAATGCATCAAGTCTAATGAAAACATCTCTGTTTTTTATGCTTGGTGGGGATTATAATGGGTTAGTTGTAGGGTAAAAGAGCAATAACAAATGGAATGAAGAGAAATGAAAAGTCAAACTAGATAGCATGTTGACCACAAGAACAGTTGTAACGATATAATTGGAATCTTAATTTTTATTAACATGATGCAATACCATTCTCTTATATAAAAATTTCATTTGGGAAGATATGGGATAATGAAACTGTAAGTACATAGAAAAATGAAGTATCAAAAGATTCAGATTTGCCAATCCACAAGACTCATCATGATAAGTACCTGATCAGCACTGCCCGGTCCAATTAAGACAAGTGCCACACCCGAATCATCCATTTTATCCTGCCATAAGAAGAACAAATCAAATGTCATAACCCGCCTTAACTAAAACTTTGTTTGCATAAAATATTAAAATGTCCTTTCTGATTTTCAGTGTTTATCAGAAAAATATTTCCCTCTTTTTTTAAAGACAGAAAGTCATTTTTCCGGAACAAATTTATATTTTCTAATTTTGTGGGTCCAGCGTATTGCTATGCATAAAGAGTCTCCCCAATAAAACATTTCCCACGACAATATAGTAATATACTCACCTGTCTCGCCATTATTCATGATTATATAACGACTATGGAAATAATCAAGTTGAAGATAGACAATCAAATACAGCCTTAAAACGAAAGATTTCAAATTTCATTGTTAACACACAAACCATTACCTTTAGTGCAGCAAGATAATCAGCCCTTTTGCGACAAAGCACGCAACTGCATTTAAAGAAAGAGGGCCAGGGAGAAAGTTCAATACATCTTTCCATTAGTTTTCTGCTCTTTTCAATATGTGTATGGCTTACCCGAAATGACGGGCAAATGCAACAATGGCTCTTCTATCTTTCCACAAATCAGAAATAGGAACTGCTTTTCCTCCCAAATCACACACCTCCACATTCTCCAACACATTGATAGCCTCCTCACTCGCAACATGTGAATCAGTTCCTGCCTCGCCAGTAGCAAAAATGTGTTCATGGATTGGGTCACGAAATGTATGAGTCGAACTAAAGTTTAATACGGAGTAGTTTGTTCTTAACAAATTGTCTCTTTCAACTCATAGCAGTACCTTGGATTTTCCAAATGTAGTACTCATCCTTACATAAGAAAGGGCCAGAATGGTGATAACCACCACATCAAATCACAAAACTCAAAACCATAGTTACCTCACATCAACTGAATATAAATAATTAAACATAGGAGGGGTTTTTTTTGGATGAGTTATACCCGACACTTATTCTTAACATCATGCAAAAGAATACACACTAATGGCCTGCTTGGGAACTTAAATTTGTATTTCAAATTCAGATTTGACCCAAATTACATGTTTTGAAATCTAAAAAAAATTGGATCCAGATTTGGGCCAAATTCCTCTAATTTTCAAACACTGCCTAATATGGTTTCGAAATAATGATAACTCATAATAAATTAATAATAGTAATATTGTGACGATCATCAACAACAATGATCATTACACTAAAAAGGAGGCCAAAATAGCACCTGTGGGTGTGGAGGTGGATTTTGCAGATATTATGTTGAGCCTTGAAGGATGGGAGGAGAAATTGAAGGGTTTGGGCTTGAATTTAACAGAAAAGCTGAGATTTTGATGAAGCGAGTTCCTGTAAGTGCTCCCGGCAAAGACGAAGATGCTGCGGTAGTTTCGCGCTGTAGTAAAGAGAGGTGCCGCCATGGCTGTGGTCTAGCCGAGATGGCACAGTCTATTTGATTAAAAGGAAACATAATTTGAAAAGAATTGACATCAATAGGAATGTTATTTCTACCCCAGAATTTGAACCTCATTTTGTACACTGTAGGGATGCACCAACATTTTGTATTAGTATAATACTAATTTTTGTTAACGCACCAACATTTTGTGTCAGTGTAAATTTTTGTTTACACACTAATACTTTTTGTCAGTGTGAACCATCAAATTGTTGGTGCATACATTTCGTGTAAAAATGGGGTACAAATTTTGGGGTACATGTAGCATGCTCCATAGTCAAAAGATGAGAAGGTATATGGTACAACCGGCTATACCTAGAAATAGTTACATCCGAGTGGTACTCATTTTGAAGTAAAGTAGTACTCATTCTCGCACAAACAGAACCGTTCATTTTGAAATAGCGTGTATATGAATGTTATAATTCTATGAAATAAATGTGTAAATCGTTAGACAAACCTCTAATAAAAGTGTAGTATTATATTTTTAAAAATATTGATTTTAAATTGTATAAAATAAATGTTATTCGTAGATGAATATTATAATTGTATTAAATAAATGTTATGACCTGTGATAGCATGTTTTATTATAATTGTATTCACACATTTATTTCATACAATTATAATATTCATCTACGAATAACATAGTGTTCATTCTGAAACAAAATGGTACTCATTCTCAAATCAAGCAGTGTTCAATCTCAATTAAAGTACCTCTCATTACACGTAGTCTAAAATTAATATGCCACCCTTCTTCATCTTCCTCGCCCAAAATCTGAACTATTTCGGACTAAATTTCTACATCAGGCACTTCTCCAATAAACCGGACCAATATGTTCCATCTGGTATACAAATAATACAATTACCTTCCGAGTATCACATCACTATCACCTTAGCCACCATTTGATTTTGAGCAAACCAACAATAATTTTTTTATAGGAATATTATTCTCAACATTTCTATCAAAAAACTGTTACAATAGGTCTGAGGTAAGCATACTCTATTTCGAGAAAACTAGGACAATAATTAATACGGAGTATTATTCTAAAATAATCTATAGTTAAAAAGAGGATGAGCCTCGTCCCCGAGGATTCTCTTACCCGGCTGAACGGTCACTGAGAGGAAGTAAATTAAACTTTAATCATAAATTGGTGGCAAAGAGTGAAGTTTGCATCTGGTACTTGCAGAGGGCCTATGTTTAACATAGTTGCCTCCCAACACAGTTGTCAGAAATCGAACTCGAGTCTTACTCTCTTGGCATTCCTTATCTTACTAATTGCACAACTCCCACCGGCTAAAATATGGAGTATTATTTTAAGGCGAAAGTTTGAATTATTTTCATCAAATTTTCCAATACTCTCTCCGTTCAATTGTATTTGTCCATTTTGATTTTTTTCGAATCAAATTGGACAAACTTTGAGCTTTAATTAAATAAAAATTATAATGTATTTTAACATAAAAATGACTTTATTGGATTTATCGTATTGAGAATTTTTAAAATTGTATTTCATTATGCTAATATGCAATATAAATTGAGATTAATTAGAGTTCAAAATTTGTCCAATTTGATTCAAAAAGGTCAAACTAGATAAATACACAGGTATGAAGATAGTATTTCTATGAAAAATGCTAGGGGTACACCAAATGTGTATTCCATTTGTCCCCCACTCCTCCATTACCACATAAATGGGCAACAACTTTAAAAAAATTAAATAAATAAAAAATAGATAAAAATGAATAGTAAAAAAGGGATAGTGGACAAATGGGATACACCAAAAGTATACCCCTAGCATTCCTCTATTTCTATTAACTTTTGTATGGGATTTGACTGATTTCCGGGAGCACGTTTGGCATATGCTCAAAGGATGCCATGCCGAATCTGTGGACATTAGATTTGCACGTCGCGATTACAGATTACAGGGGTATTTCCGACAATTGCTCACGGTCCTGGGTGTGTGTGGGTCCCGTGACCCGTTCGGCGTAAAGCCTATAATCTCACACATCATCCCTTCCCTTCCAATCTCCCACATATTCTCTGCTTCACTGGGGTCTCCTCCTCCCACGCGCCGCCCCCTACCGCCGCGGCCGCCACACCCTCACAAATCATCCAATCAATAATGGCCGCCATGAACCGCCTATTCAGATCCCCAACCTCCTCCGCTTTCCTCCTACGAAGCTGCTTTTCAACCACGGCCGGCGCCGCAACGGAGACAGTGAAGCCGAAACTTTACCCAGATTCCCCTCTCACAAAGGCTCGAGATCCCAAGCCTAAAGGCATCCAGTGGGTGTTTCTCGGCTGCCCCGGCGTCGGAAAAGGGACCTACGCCAGCCGCCTGTCTGCTCTCCTCGGAGTTCCGCATATTGCCACAGGCGATCTCGTCCGTGAAGAGCTCAAATCATCTGGCCCTCTCTCTAAACAAGTATGCCTACCTTCCATTTCTTCCAAGCTATTCTTTATATTAGTTTAGGATCATATGAATACCAATTTCGTCAATTTCGATTATAAAAGTTCCCATTTTTAAAATATGTTCTATGGGTTAAAATTAATTGTCTGTGCAAACATTCATTCTGTATGAGGTTATATGTAGAAGAAATTATGTTCTATGGCCGTCTGCTCTGGCTTTTGTAGAAATTCAGCTTAGATTTTTGGATAATGAAATGACATCATTCACTAAATGCCATGCATGTTGTCCTAATGTTTAGAAGAAAGTGCATAACTTGCCTGCAATCTTCTGGTCTTTGATATTTCAATTCTCATTTGGTTTTCATCTTTCTGTTCTATCAGCTTTCAGATATTGTAAACCAAGGGCAATTGGTTTCAGATGAAATAATACTGAACTTACTGTCAAAGAGGCTAGAAGCTGGAGAAGCTAAGGGTGAAGCAGGATTTATACTTGATGGATTCCCTCGAACAGTGAGGCAAGCCGTAAGTAGTTTTCTTTTTGTTTCAATATGATCTTATGAATCACATTCCTTTCTGTTTATGATGTCTCATGTCTGTTATGTTTAAGTTATAGAGCCTTGTCACACTGGAGGATTGCTTAAACATAGTTAGAACCTCAAAATTTTCTCTGATATTATGGACATGAATAGGTAGAAAATGTTTAGCCTGCTTTAAGGTATCTAGACGTTTCGTTGTTGAATTGAGATTGTGATTGATGCCAAGAAGGTAGCATTTGATTAACTGTAATACAATATATGTATAATGTAATCATCCACTCCCTCATCCCATTAAAAGAACCCAATTTCTGGATTCTACACTTTTTTTAATCTAGTGAGATATTGGAAATCGCTAAACATAGTATCAATTTTAAAATTTACTTGTAGGTTTAACTAAATGTAACACATTTAACTTGTTTGTCGTATTTGTTTTACAAACAGTATATATGAATGAAATCTTTAGTTCAAATTGGACTCCTTTTTGGGACAAAAACAAGGTTGGAATCATGACTCTCTTTATAGGATGGAGGGAGTGTATTTTAAGAGTAAATTTACATTACCCATGCATTTGATTACAACTTATTACATTGTATGAAAGCTTACCAAAGCGATTTCTAACATCAACGGATGATCATTGTAATTTTTTTCACTTTCTAGTGGGACTAATAAGCTTTTGGTTTGGAGGAGAGTGCAGCATCTTAATTATTGAAATGAAACACCCTTTTTCCTTGCTATATACACTATGGCTAACCTTTTTTTTGACAAACAGGAAATATTGAATGATGTGACAGACATAGAGTTGGTTGTTAATCTCAAGCTTCCAGAAAGCGTATTAGTTGAAAAATGTCTCGGGCGAAGGATTTGTGGTGAATGCGGGAAGAATTTCAATGTGGCATCAATTAATGTCAAGGGCGAAAATGGGAGTCCTGGAATTAGCATGGCCCCACTACTCCCCCCTCCACAATGTGTTTCAAAGCTAACCATTCGAGATGATGATACTGAAGCCGTTGTTAAGGAAAGACTTCTTGTGTACTACGAGAAGGTATTTCTATAATTTCTACTTTAAAAAAAGTACTTGGTAGTAATAAATATGAGAGTTACTCATTGCAATCCTACAAAGTGAGTGACATAAAAGAGAAGCTTCTGTCTATGAGGCCATTACTTCTTTGGCATTGAAGCATGATTTGAGTTTGCATATGAAATCTGAGTGTGTATTCCCTTTTACACCAAGTGATAATCGACTATTACGTCAAAGTTCTCTCTTACTAAATTTTTGCTTCAAGACCACATCTTGCCCTAGCTGACAATGGAAAATGAACTGAAATAAAAAGAATTGACATATTGACCTTCCATTTTTTATATTATTTTATTAATTTATGAATAAAATGTTTTTAAACGCCCCCCCTGTCTAGATTATTGTCTCACTTTCCTTTTCAATCTGTCTCAAATAGGTGTCTCATTTCTTTTAAAGAAAGAGCATGAGGTTCCCGATATTTTCCCTATAAATGCGAACAACACACTTTTCACACAACACTTTTTAAAAAAAATTCGTGAAATCAATTTGAGACAATTTTTTAATGGAACGGAGGGAGTGGCATTTTAGCACATTTAGTCACTTCATCCATTTAAGCCAAATCCACTCTTATCAAATAGACTCTGAAACTTACAGATTTCTCCAGCCACCCTCCCTCCTTTCCAGGCTTCTCCCTGATCTTAAAGTCATGATGTCCTACATATTCTCCCTGTCATGGACCAATATGGTCGTTAACATGTTTTTTGACCACTGCAGAGCCAGCCGGTTGAAGACTTTTATCGAAGCCAAGGGAAGCTCTTGGAATTTGATTTGCCCGGAGGTATACCCGAATCTTGGCCGAAGCTGTTGGAAGTCCTTAACCTCGATGAACATGAGGACACCAAACTCTCAGCTGCTGCCTAGATTTTCAACCCATTGGTTGCCTTGATGCATGTTTTAACATTTTTGCCCGTTATTTATTCGACTGAGTTAATGAAAAAAAATAACAACCAAACATGAAGTCCCCCACAGCCAATTAACTGCTGTGGCCTAAAATAGTTGAATTTCCAGAATTGCATTCTTCAAAAGAAGTGTGTTGTACCAAATAGCTTAAGTTAGTTTGGGAGTGCCATTTAACTCGTTAATAACATCTATTAAAAATTTCAAATTCTTATCCGATCTTAAGTTAATCCAATTACACAAAATATCCGATGATACTAAAATCAACAATATTAACTCAATTTGAAATTGACCCAAAACAAACCAGATTACTCAGTTGCCAATTCTACTTTAATCTCATTAGAGCATCACCAATGCCGAGGAGTAGCGGCGAGGAAGAGTAGCGCCTCGCTTACACCAATTTGTTTGGGGCAGCTAGGGTGTCCCATTTGTAAAAATGACGGTTCCTACCATCAGTCCCCCTAAACCCCCAAGTTCAGCCCACTCCTGCACCTCTCCCGCCCAATCCCAACCATGGAATTTGTCAGGGTAGGGTTTGGGGCAGGAGAAAGGGGGGGAGGGCAGGGGTGAGATTGGACTGGGGGGTTAGAAGGGATAAGAACCACTATTTTTACAAACGGAGCATCCTATGTGCTCCAAACAAAGTGGTGTAAGCAAATGACACCAATAGCACTGGTGTCATTTTAGACTTACTCAATTTTCTATCTTTTAATATGAAGAAGTATGAATAAAAAATATTTGTTGGACTTAAAAATTTATTTCTAGGCTATTACTATAAAATATTTAGGGTCTTATAAACTTAGGAGGTTCGGTGCTGTCCCCCTGACCTCTCTCAGGTCCGACCCTATCGTTGGTATTTATAGCATCAAATCTTATAATGGTAATTGGAATTTGTCTTGAGCATATATGAATTTTTTTAAATGTTTAAATTGTGTCATCAGTTGAATTGTTTTATTATTTGATTCTTGATAAATAATACGGAGTAACAACAATAAAATAATAAAAATGCACATAAACGATTTTTAATTTATACTCCATAATCGGACAAAATGGTATAAAATGGAGAAATAAAAAAAGAAATCAGTCACGAGATGGCTCCTTTAGATTACTTGTTGAGTTGTGGTACTAGTATAGGGAGTATTATCGTCCACTGATGATTAGATAAGCATTAGTTCTGCCGTTATAATCCCACACCGCTTACGCAATAGATCAACTGGAAAATAGAGAAGCTACATAAAGCACAGCCAGCCCTATTCAAAAACCATCTTTGCGCTTGGGGCAATGACGCAGCTAGTGAGGTATTAACCGAGGCGCGTCTATTGCTGGTTGAAAACTATTTCCAAACCCCCTCTTCGGCTTAGGTTCTGCTTAAGTCTTAGAGAATTTTTGGAAGGGTTCTTTTAATTAGGAACCCTACAATTTAGAGACTTAAATTTATTTACTCTCTGCCCCTTATAACATTTAAATTTTTACTTCTTACATGTTCCATAAAATATTTCAATTTTGCCTAAATGGACACAATTGTGCTTATTGTTCTTAAATCTTAGCGAACCCACCTCAATTATCTTCTACGCTCTATCTATTTTGGCATTTCCCGAGTCCAACTTGTTTCAATTGTCGTAGCTTTGCCTTGGTCAAACTTTAATATTTTCTCCTCCCAAAAGTCAAAACGAGAAATGTTTTTCGAGATGGAGGGAGTATTATTTAAATAATTTTTTAATCCCCAAATCAAAGTTTACTCTCTAATACGAGTAACAAATAACTGTGCCCAAGAGGTGTCTTCGTCCAGTCCTCTGACTATAAATGCCAAGATATGTTCATTCTCAAAATTTTTAACTTAAAAAACCATTTCTTTTTCAAGTTCCTGTCATTTTAGATTTTATAGCCGTTTTAAATATTGGTTTTTATAACATCCTCCCTCATATTTTTAGGTTCACACTATCTCCCATATTTCAATCACCCAAATTTACCTTTTTTCAACTTATGTGAAAAGGAAAATAGATTTTTCCTCTACTTTTGAATATCGACTTAATATATGTGCATACATCGGGAATATGAGATGACAAGTTTCTGATTCAAATAAGATCCAGAGATTTTGGGATCGGGTTGGCAACTGGAATTGATCGGAACCGCCTTCTGGGTTAAGAATCTCAGTTTTGGGGTTGGAACCAATTTATTTTTTGATTACTTTTTGTGTTTTTAAAACTTATTCTCAAATTGTTTATTTTGAATCAGAGTAACTACAAACAAAAAATAAAATATATCTATAGAGATGTATATAATATTTTTCAAGAAAAAAAGGATCCCTATCCAACCCGGCCATAAACTAAAATCGCGGGAAAATATAATGATCTTTCCATTCTTATGTGATCTTTCTTAAAATTTATGCTAAAATCCATCATTCGTCCTTCAACTTTGTAAGATATGCACGATTTATCCTTCAAGTTTTAAAAGCTCATAAATAGTCTTCAATTATTCAAGAAACTCTAAATCCAATCCTTTAAGTTTCAAGACTGGATAAGTAGTCCTTCAAGTATTCATCAACCCTCCAAATACAATTGAATTGTTTTATTGTTTTATTCTTGACAAATAATACGGAGTAACAGCAATAAAGTAATAAAAATGCACATAAATAATTTTTTAATTTATACTCCATAGTTGGAACAAATTGGAATAAAATGGAGAAAAAATTCACCCACGGGAGGGCTCTTTTAGACTACTTGTTGAGTTGTGGTACTAGTATAGGGAGTATTATCGTCCACTAATGATAAGATAACTGCATTAGTTCTACCGTTATAATCCCACACCGCTTACGCAATAGATCAACTAGAAAACATAGAAGCTACATAAAGCACGGCCAGCCATAGTCGAAAAACCATCTTTGCGCTTGGGGCAATGACGCAGCTAGTGAGGTATTAACCGAGACGCGTCTATTGCTGGTTGAAAACTATTTCCAAACCCCCTCTTTGGCTTAGGTTCACCTTAAGCCCTTGAGAATTTTTGGAAGGGTTCTTTTAATTAGGAACCCTACAATTCACGAACCTAAATTCATTTATTTTTTCATAAGTTTTTTAATTCTTGGCCAAGAAAAACAATTACAATTAGTACTGCAGTTTTTGGACGGGTGGCCGTCCAATATGGTCCGCCGCGCTGCTCCAGGTTTTGTTTTTTTTTGTTTTTTTAGTTTTCAACTCAATTAATTCAACATATCTAAACTTCATTTGTTTTTTAAGTCTTTATTTTCTAAGAACTTTTATTTTTTAGTTTTTGTAATTTTAATTTTTAGCATGTTAAATTTCTGATTTTATTAATGTAGTACTCCGTATTTCGTAAGCTAATGTTCTATTCACTTATTTTTAATTTTTCAATTGTTACTATCTTTTTAAAAAAATTCATATTTTTTTGTTGAAAACAAATATTTGTATCAAATTTATATAAATTTTGAATTTAAAAGGATGAATGATGTACGATTTTGGAGCAGAGCTGAAAATTAAGAGAATGCTGATGTGACAGGAGTTGGGTGACATGAGAATTGCCCCCATTGTAAATGCTATAAGACCCATCGTACCAGAGTGTGGAACCTCTTTTAGGCGCCTCATTATGCCTTTAAGTACATTTTCAGTAATCGTTAATCTAGTCAAAATAGGAAGAGATGTGTTTTAATTCCTGGAAGGTGCAGCATGTTTTTACCATTACCCATTTAAAAACGAGTAGTTTTTAAACAAATTTCTTAAATAGGAGTAAAACATAGATAAAAAACCAAAATAGGAGTTACATATTTTATTTTTTAAAATAGGAGCTGTGGTAATGTGGTACTGTACATGTGCATTTTATTACACTTTTTTGATAATTTACATGGTCATGATTGGTAATGTTAATGTATTTGAGCTCATATTTCAGGAATAAAAATATAAAACTTCTATTTTGATACTCCCTCCGTCCTAAAACTTTCTTCCCAGAGCACTATTCCAACTTCACGGGAATTTATATTTATTTGTGTTTTTTCATGACCTATATGATAAAATAAAATATTCTTGTCACCACTTGTTTTGTTGAACTTTTGATGTAGTTTTTAAATATGTATGTTTTATTTTTTATTTCTACACCAATATTTAAATAAAATAGATTGAAAAACTTGAAATTTTTTTTCGTTTTGCGCAACGGGAAGAAAGATATAGGACGGAGGGAGTATATATATTTTAAATGTTTTACTACAACTTTAGCCGTTTTCCCTTTTATTTGGAAACCAATATACTAGCACTTTTTTCCTTGACCATATATAAAACATTAATGATACTTTTTCTACTAGTATATGAAAATGACTCGCTTTTTTATCTAAAAATATTTGAGTAAAAAATAGTCAAATTAAAGAAATATTACCCTCCCGGAATGTTTGTTAAGTTTTGACTTTTTTTCGTTAAAATTAATAAATTTTAATTATAATTGAATAAAATTTATAATACGGAGTAGATTTTGATACAAGAATGTTTTATTACATTTATCTTATATAGTTCTCTCAAAATATTGTTTTAGTATCCATCTATTTTTTACATACGTATATGTCAGAAATCGATCTTGATTTACTGAAAAAAATTAAGAGTAAACAAATACTCACTCATAAACAACAATAGTAAGGGGGCGGTTCAGCATAGCGTGAATCATTGACGATGCATTTCTTTTTCGCTTGAATTAAATTTCCTCCTGGCTGGAATTAAATTGTTGATTTTCCCCAAGGTACCTCACTTCTGATGGATTGATCTTAACCAGCGTCGTAAATTTCAATTTTCTGGATTTTACAATGATTCCGAGGATGAACAGGGAGAGTTTCAATGATCGGCAATGGCGGAAGGGAAGGACAGGGCGCCGACGGTGAACTGGGAGGGCTCAGAGACGGAGATTAGCGACAGGGGGGAAATCGCAACGACTGGGGACGGCGGCGAGTCGGAGGCGGGTAGTACGGGGAAGAGCGCGGCGCTGCAAGAGCGGCAGAGTCGGGTTGCGACGGCGATTTATTGGGAGAGGTTTCTTCGTGTCACGTCGATTAGGGTTTTGCTGGTGGAGGATGACGATTCCACGAGGCATATCGTCAGTGCGCTGCTTGTGAATTGCAATTACCAAGGTTAGTTGCTTAGATTGCTCCATTTCATCCGGCTATAGGCTCAAACCTCTAAATGTTCATATTCGGATCAAGTTTGAATTACATAATTTAGAAATAGAAATACACAGAGCCAAAGTATGAAGGGATTTGTTCTAAAAAAACAAACTTTGGACTACTTTTTGTATATCTACAATATTGAATCTGGACTTGGGTCGAACGTGAAAGTTGTTGAAGAGATTGGGATGAACCCAACCATGTCTGACTTGGAATCTATTGCCAGCCTCCATTCAGATATAATGGCAAAAGGGATGGAGTCCAAGAGGAGTCACCGGAGGGAGTCATTTGGTCATATAATAATACTCCGTATAATATACTCCCTCTGTCTCTAAAAGATTGGCGGTACTCTTCACTATTTCAAAATTACGGAAATTTTTGTTATTTGTGCGTTTTCATTGATTATTTGATCAAATAAAATATTCTTGCCACCTCCAATTTTCTAGAACTTTTGATGTAGTTTTGTTTAAATACACAAGTTAATTTTTTGTTTCTGTACCAATCTTTAAATAAAATGAATCAAAAAAACTTGAAATTTTACTTTGGTTTGCATAAGTGCCAAAAGGCGGAGGGAGTACATATACTGTTGTATTTGGATTGAACTTGATACTTATGGACCGTGGAATGCAGTGATCGCAGCTGCAAATGGAAGCGAAGCATGGAAGATCTTAGAAGAAGAAGATGTGACAAAGCAGCAGCACATAGATCTGGTGTTGTGTGAGGTTGAACTCCCGCAATTGTCGGGCTTAGATCTTCTCTGCAAAATAATGAGTCACAACACATGCCGTCACATTCCTGTCATTAGTAAGTAGATGACCCATTTGAATTCCACACGAAAATTATATCGTTCATTTCTTCATTCTCTGCATTATTTTTAAACTATTTGATTGAATTTCTGAATCTCGGTATTAATGTTATTGCAGTGATGTCGTCTGGGGATTCGATAGGGTTGGTTTGGAAGTGCTTGTCAAAAGGTGCAGCTGGATTCCTGGTGAAACCTATGAGGAAGAATGAGCTTAAGAACTTGTGGCAGCATGTGTGGAGAAGATGCCACAGTTGCGCCGTAAGTCCTTCATTTCTCTACACACTACTGCTTCAGCCCCACCGGTCTCATATGTCATGCATTTGATTTTCCTAAGGTAGTGTTTGGCAACTAGCATTTCATTTCAATTCATGCATTTCAATTCCAAAATTTGAAATCCTGAATTTCAAATGATAAGGGGAGGTGCATAGATTTCAAATTAAACTTTGTTTTGAATGTAAAGAATTTATTCAAATCCAAATTCGAAATGCTTAAGTTTTCCAAACATAAAATTTAAGCCAAATCCGGATTTGAAATCCAAATCCATGTTCCCAAACATACCATAAAAGAATTTCATGCCTTTTATTTTCCTTAACACTGAAGTGATTATCGAATGGGCACTATATTTGTTGGAATAGCTCAGTGAGTTAGTTAAATAGTTGTTATATGCTTGTCCGGTAGTTAGTTTTCTTTTTTTCTTCCTCCACACACTCAGTAGCCTTATATCCTTCATTATGTAATTTTCCTCATTATTGAAAGAAGCTTGTGACTTGTTTCATCAATCTTTTCTTATTCGTCACAATTCTATGTGAAATCAACACGGTAACAGAAGTTGAAGTTCCTTGATTGTGAACCCTAGCTTCTTTCATCTTTCCTCTTCTCTTATAATCTCTGATTCATCCCTTTACAACACATCAAACTCTTCAAATTTGAGTTCAAGCATGCCAAATCCAAGTTGAGTAGATCCTTCTGATCCTTTCCATCTGCATCCCTGTGATCATCTAGGATTGCTATAAATCTATAAGGAATTTGAAGGTGAAGGATTTGGTTCTTGGGAAAAATAGCTCTCTCTGCCAATAACAAATTGGATTTCATCCAAGGTAAAATCAAGAAACCAGAAGATTCTTCTTCACGAGCTAGCATTTGTAAGAGAGGTAATGATATGATTACATCTTGGATTCTCAATACTCTATGTAAGAAAATAGGGGATAGCATACTCTATGCTCAAACTGTGGCCGAACTCGGGGAAGAATTAGATGCCAGATTTGGTCAATCCAATGGGGCAAGGCTGTATCAGCTACAAAAGGATATTTGGTCCATTGCTCAAGGGAATTTTAACATTGTGGGATATTGCACACAACTAAAGAAAAGGTGTAATGAATTGGCGTTGGTATCCAATCTGCCAAGATCTTCATGTGGAGCAGCACAAGAAATTGTGAAATATGAACAAGAACAAAGGTTGATTCGGTTTTTAATGGGACTCAACTAAGATCACAACATAAGCAGAGGAAATGTCCTCATCATGAAGCCCTTACCCTCAATTTCTGCTGCTGCTGCTGCTTATGGCATGCTGATGCAAGAAGAAAAACCGTAAATTAACCACCGGATAAGCCTATAACAACTATTTAACTAACTGACTAAGCTATTCCAATCCAATAGTATCCAAATTCGACATTTATCAGTACACATGAATACAATTGGCGAATCAAATAGAAAATATTCAATTCATTTATTGCCTTACCTTTATTCCTGCATTAAAACGGCAATATAAAATAATCAACGGATTAAATATCTCCCAGAATGCATATTCCATTTTCTTCTCTTCCTTTTTTCAAAACGTTTTTCTATATCTAAAAGTTATTCCATTGGCTCGTTACATTTCTTTGTTTGATCTTCAGGCTATTGGGAGCGGTAGTGGGAGAAATATGTCAAAAATAAAAAACGCTGAAGACCCAAAGAAGATGACAGAGAATTCGGTTGGTCACGATTGCACAGGCTGCAATGGAGAGGACAAGAGAAAGAAGAAACTAAGGGGCAACACTGGTGAGGACGCTGATGGCGGCATGCAGCAGCAGGTTCGATGATACATGATGATGTGCAATCAACAAAATTTTGGGGTTTTTCCTCCCTGCAGTATAACGTACTTCAAACCGTAATAAATATAATATTCCATGTACATTTAGAGGGCGTTTTTGTGTGCCGGTGCTTATTGGCTTATTGCTGGTAAGCAATTTTAATTTAGAAGTTGTTTATAAGTTAAATATTCTTTTGTGGAAATAAAACGATTTAAATTATAGATAAGTCATTTGGATAAATTTCAGTAATGGTACCTGAACTTTCACTGGAATTTTGAAGTAGTATCTCAACTTTAAATCTTTTCACAAAAATACATGAACTTACATAATCCTTTCACTAAAAGTCCATTTACCCGTTTCCAAGTCAACTTCCGGTTATTTGGACTAAATTAGAATTTTATACGAAGTATATTTTAAAATTTTCAATTTGACCTCATTACTGAGGAAGAAGAGGGTGGGAGGGCGAAGAAGAAAAAAGGGAGATAAATGAAAGAATAAAATTTGGAGAGAGAAATTGGAAAATGGGAATAGTACGAAACGAGATCCAGTCCGTTCTTTACTTCTTTTATTCATCATTTCCCAGGCGCCTGCCATTCTCATGCCACTTCGACAGCTCTCTTCTTTTTAACAAATCCCTTTTTTTATTTTTTACTGTATTTAAAACATTAAAATACAATTTTGAACAGGACCGGCCTCAAAAAATGAAAAAATGAAGTTGGCTCACTTTGAAATTTATATTTTGGGTCTTATTTTATTATTTCAGAATATTTATACTTCAAAATTAATGAAGAATCTGAAAATATGAGACCCTAAAATTTTAGGGGCTCTGTACACTTGGTCACCTTGCACAACTTTCGGGTCACCCATGATTCCACACACATCTTCCATTGTGGGTTAGAGATAGTATATTTGATGATATAATAGCTAAAAAGTTGAGTTGAAATTCCAAAATCTCTACTAGCATTGGAGTTAGTCTAATCAACCATATAGGTATATATTCCTCGTCCCTATTTTGTTGAATGACACTTATATGGTCATAAGATAGATGTACGTTTAAAATATGATCTTCTCATGTTTTTAAAGGGGTTACATGTAATATTTTCTATTTTGCAAAAAGTTTACTTCTTTTATGCTATAAATACACCAAGATCCATAAAATAAGCATAAACTTTAGGTTAACAGAAGAATTTGCCTATTTTGATTACAAAATGGGAGTTACGATGTAAAATCCTACAATTTTTGAAATTATTTTATTTATAAATTGGTACATCAATAAAAAATAAACATTACATATTAAAAACTATGTTCAAAGTTCTACAAAACAAGATGTAACAAGAATATTTTTATTTTATTATTAAATAATCAATGAAAACACACAAATAAACAAAAATTGTCGAGAGGAAAAACAAAATAAAATTGTAATCAGAGATGAAGGGAGTATTTGACACTGTGTCAATTTGATACAATATAAATTTTTTTAATCGAATACGGAATGTATTCATCTCTCCGTTCTCAAATTAAGATCACATTTTCTTTTTTGTTTGTTTTTTCCTTGAAATTCTTACAATATTTTTATGTGTAATACTTATTTTTGTCATTGTAATAAGTGCACTTATGTTGGGCAGTATAAAATTAGTCTCTATATCAAAAAATGTGAATCAAGTTAGTTCATCTAATAAAATTTAGTTAAACTATGTTATTAGAAACGCTGAGTTGACACATTAATTGATACAAGAGATTAATATACGAAGTCACTCTCTTGCATTAATTAACGTGCTAATCCAATATTTTAAAATGTACTTTTTTTGTGAGACAAACTAATTTGATTCACATTTTTTAGTTATGGAAACTAATTTGACTCAATCCAAATACGTGGACTCAATTGACTCTTGAATATATAGACCAAAATGAGTGTTAACCCACATTTTTGTCCTTTTTAATCAAAATTTCATCAATATCTCTTTCATTTTTTAGTATTCTTTTATACTTTGAAAATAATCAAACTAATATTTTAATTTCAGGACTAGAGATAGTATATGAATAGGGCATGCTAGGGGTACATCAATATGAGGTACCTTATTTGTACACTAGACAAATATAGACAGACAGAGACACTTAATATTTATGATCCACAAATACTAAATATTCATGTTTGTCTGTGTTTGGTTAGTGTACAAATAGGATAACTCGATTTTGGTATACCCTTAGCTTTATTATATATGAATTCATAATAATCAACCAATTTCATTGTGATCCAACTCTACCCTAAAAGGGGAGTGGGGGTTAGTTTGAGAAAATGATGTAAGAACAGATGGGCAATGAGTCACAAACTTTATCCAAAAGCCAAAAAAATACAGAGTTGAATTGGCCACTCCTTTGCCACTCACTCCTCATTTCTCAAGGCTCCAAGCTAAAATCCAAAACATATTTTCGCAGTTCCACCAAATTCACCAAAAAAAAAAAATCAGTTGATCAATCCTCTGGGTTTCTTATGCCATTAATTTTGGAGAGCATTTCAAGAGTCTTTGTCTCAGTTTATTTATCCTTTCATTGTGATTTTATTTTTAAATAATCAATTAATTAATCTTGAAATTCTCTGCTGATATATACTCCGTATATTACTGAGCTGTTATTTTGTTGTTTTCTTGATTGGGTACAAGTAATCATTATCTTGTTCTTCTTCTTCCTCCCATTTTTTTTTCCAGTTGGATTTTTCTCTGTACGGCAGTTAAAGTTGGATTCTTCTACAGCTGATTTGAGTGTGAAGGCCTCATTGTGAGTCTGATTCTAGTACTAGTTCTTATAAAATTGCATGCATGTTATGTTTCTTAAAAATTTTTGGTAAATGTTTGATTTTGGTTCCTTTTTAGGGTTCGCTTTTGGGCAAAATTTGAGCAAGCCTTATGTTGCTTATCTTTCTACACCCTCAGTCCCATAAAGAAATTGACAATTCGGCTTCACAGAATTTAACGAACCAGTTTAGATTAGAGAGAAATGTTTTGAGCTACATATTCGTTTCCCGAAATCGAAATGGGAAAAATGTAAAGTTTAATTTGGGGCAGAGGTCCGAAGAGCGAAATGAATTTATCATTCTAATGTTGGTTTTCCCAAAATATTGTTTTCCTATTTAGATTTACCTTTTTCTATTCAAATGCACAAAGAAGTCTAAATCTTAGTTATGCTGGTTTCGAACATTTTTGTTGTTAAATTTAATGAAAAAAACACATTTTTCTGAAATAGGACTTTTTTGGGCAAATAAAGTTTTGAGATATATAAAGTTTGTTTTGGGGGGACGGTAGAAATTGTCTTAAATATCTTATTGATAAGGTATGACCATTGTTGACATGAATGAATGACAAATTCATTTGAAGGACTTAGTTGACATTTTAAACTCAACTCTTAAAAGTGAGATTTTTTTTTAAAATGGACAACTAAATCCAGAAGGATGGAGTAATTATAAAGAATAACGTTTTTGCATTAGCTTTTTTACTTTGATTTGTTTTTTATGGGTTTGCTTTTGTTTTTCATCTCATCATGGAGAATCTGGCACCCAATGTATTTGAAGTGATTGATGCTTGAATGTTTTAGTACTGAGTAGCCATAATTTACTCCCTCCTTCCGGATTTAGTCGTCCACAATAAAACCCGGACTGAAACCAAGATTTGTCCAAGATGGAGATGGAAGAGGTACAGAAGATTACTGTGATCAAACCAGTAGCGACAAGGCCGAGCTGTTTTGCCTATAAGCCATTCGCTGAACTTCTTTCTGGTGCAATGAATGGACCGTCCAACCGTGGGTGCTCCCGGACACCCGCCATCCGACCAAAGACAATAAGACTGAAATCCGCCGGAATCCATAACAGTATTGGAAAGGTGATCTTGGGTTGGTTGTGGGATAATACATTGAGTTAAAAGAGTTTTCGTTTCATATCCCAACCGTTTATGATTTTTACTGTTTCATTGACTTTTGCATTATTTCAGGCTGAGCCAATGGGCATCTCAGTTTCCTCTTCTGGTGTCAACATCTTGAAAATAGATGACATACCAACCATCATATACAAACCCACTGCAAAGCTACCTCCCGCGACAACCGTTCCTCACAACTTTAATATGGTAAGTGTGGAACATTTTTTTTCTTTTTGAATTGTTTTCCACTACTCACACTATAGGTGAAGATTTTTTTCTTTCCTTTATAGAAAAGTTGCGCGCATAATCAGCAAAAAGAAGCAGGAGATGAGTCAAAAAGAGTCAAATCATATGAACACTCGAGGATGACATCATCATCACAGAACAATGTAGAAGAGGATGAGCGGTCATTGCTTCATCAGAGCAGTAGTGCGGACTACCTTTCAAACGACGGGTATAATTGGAGGAAATACGGGCAGAAGCAAGTTAAGGGAAGTGAGTACCCGAGAAGTTACTATAAGTGTACGCATCCAAAGTGCCCGGTGAAGAAGAAGGTCGAAAGATTATTAGTGGATGATGAGATTGCAGAAATTGTGTACAATGGGGAGCATATCCATCCTAAGCCATGCCTTCCAAGTCCAAGGTACAACAGCTTGAGAGATGGAGTACAACCACATTCCAATGATAGCGTCTTGTGGAGTGAGCAAATTACTCCTCTACAAAATGAAGATAAACTTAGCTCCAAGTTCTCTAGTAGAACTCCTCCACCACTCTTTGGTGCCTTTTCTACTTTGGGAAAATCTTGTGGTCCAAGCGGGAGGTGCGGAGAAGGAAGTCAAGGATTGTTGGAAGCAGTAGGTGATGACGATGATGATCCGAAAGGAAAAAGAAGGTACTCCCTCTGTTCTTAAATATCTGTCCATTATAACTTTTTACACGAATTAAAAACTGAATGCATGTAGACATACGTTATGTCCACATTCATTTGATTCATAATGTATGTAGAAAGTCATAAACGAAAAACGGGGAAACTGCACTAAAAGTCCCTTAAAAACGGATTGTTCTTTTCTATTTGCCCATGCTGACTTGAGGCACGATCTCATTGGTTAATAAGGAAAAGTAGGAGGGAAGCGAAGGATGGAGGAATTTTGATGCAGGCTGGTATTGGGAATATGACAGATTCTGAAGCCACCGGAGACGGATACCGGTGGCGAAAGTATGGTCAGAAGGTAGTCAAAGGGAACACATACCCCAGGTAAACTTAGGAACCCTTTATATGCCACCATCTCTTTGAGTATTTCACACCACCTCTGACAAGTGTTTGTGACATTTGGTGGGTGGGTTGGGGGCAACAGGAGTTACTACAGATGCACGAATCCAAAGTGCAGTGTGAGGAAATATGTAGAGAGAGCAACCGATGATCCCAAATCCTTCATCACAACGTATGAGGGAAAACACAACCATGACGCTCCTACCAGAAGAAACCCCAAACCATGAAACATCTCCCCAAGACTTGGGAAGCTTTTTGGTGCATTAGTTAATTCACAAACAATGTTTTCTTTGTCACATGTACACCACGGTTTGTATCAAGGTTTGCACGTACACTATTTTTGTTCTTGCAGACACGCTAGCTATGTTTGTGGGTACAGTGGCGTGTCTGTGTGAACAAAAATAGATGTCTGATGTAGGCCTTCATTTAAACAATAGGAGCATATAATTTTACTCCCATTGCTGTTAAATTATACTCATGGAAGCCCATTTTCCTCTGCTAGAGACTGTCTTTAAAATTTGAAATTCATTTGGTCCTACATGTGAGGTTGGAGAGGGTCATTCAGGAAATTCACTACCCATTCCATTGGTTGTATTGAGGGACGAGATGGTGAATCATCATATTCTTTTTCTTTTGTTTGGTTATGGGGTAAATTTTTTCCATCATCTTCGATGGAGTCAAAATTTCACCATTTTTAGCTTTGGGGTGTGATGGAATAAATCAAAATGGATCTCTAAACTATCTGCGCTTCTTTAATTAATGAAGTAGCAGTTAGTCAAACACTGCAATTTTCGATGTTGAGCCGGGGGTCTCTTTGGAAACAGCCTCTCTACTTTCGAGTAGGGGCAAGGTCTGCGTACACACACCCTCCCCAGACCCTACTCTTGTGGGATTTAACTGGGTTGTTGTTGTTGTTGTTGGTTATGGGGTAAATTGATGGGGATGTTAATGGATATATATATATTATACTCTCTCAATCTAGAAATTTTCTTCCAGTTTGATTTTTTATGGTCTCTAATTGTATACGGAGTATATGGTTTTTCATTTTTACCCCAAGCCCAAGGGCCAAAGGCCCCCAATACCAGGGATGAGGCAAGGTGACAAGATTTTAAATTATGGTTTAAATAAACTACCCATGAGTGTTTTGCAATTGACAAAGTAAGACGTATTAGGGAGATAAGACCACAGTTTGATTCGTTGCAACTGCGTTGGGACTTAGGAGCCAACTATGCTATGCATAACAACTCTGCAGGTACTAGGTGCAAGTTCCATTCATTGCCACCAGTCTACGATCAAAACTTATTTTATCTCCTATCAGAAACTGTCTGATCAAGTTTTAGGGGCCTCGGGGATGAGGTTCATCCATTTCAAATCATGGTTTAAATAAACCTAAATTATCAAAAAGGTACATTAATAATTTCTTTTAACCAAGATACATTAAAAATTACTTCTTAATTCATTAGTTAGCCCGGTACTCCATTCGTTCTAAATTTAAGGCTCTGTTCGTCGGTGTTCTAAAAATAAGGTTGGATATAGAAAAAACTGAAAAAAGTTAGAAGAAATTAGAATTAGTTGAAAAAAACTAGAAGGTGTTGAAAAATATTTAAAATATAAAGTGCTAAAAAATCACTCAATTAAATAATCATCCAAATAAATATGTAAGAGAATTAATTTTAGAAAAAAAAGAATTCATCTTTGTCTGTATTTGAGGTGCTATGTTATAAGTTTAGATATATGATGTTATTGTATATTCATCATATAGAAATACTCCGTATTTTTTTAAGTCATTGTTGCAAGAAACTAAAAAAGTAACAATTCATTTGATGAGTATTTGAGGTATGATATGGTATGCGTTTTGAAATCTGAGAGAAATAAAATGAATTTTGAAATATGAATTGAAATAGAATTATTTGGGCAGAATTGAAATCATCATTTAATTAGTAAAAGGTAGAAGGGGCCAGTAACGATCGTGGTGGCAGAGATAGTGGTAGCGAGTAACGAAGGTTGATCGATACTTGAAGAAATATCAAAACATCATATTAATATCTCCTAGATCTGGGTGATATTGAAACCATTAATCTAGTAAGTTTGTGAGTTTGTGATATTTGAAAATATCAAATCCGATAACTTTTTATATTTTACCAAATACCAAAGAAACTTCTAATATCAGAAAATGTCAAAACTCATATTTAATAGGATCACCAAAGAACCTTTAAATGAACCAAATGTTATGATATCATTTCAAAAAAAATAATTATTAAATCACATCTTATTGTTTCACATTTTATGATGAAATCACATCTTTAAATGAACCAAATGTTTATTAAATCACTTCTTAATTATTAAATCACATCTTTAAATGAACCAAATGTTTCACATTTTATTTTTTATTTATTGTTATTAAATCACATCCCATCTTTAAAAGAAAATTGTATAGCATAAATTTTGAGCACACTATTTTATTTTTTAAATGACCGTATCTGTTAATATGTGAAACCTTATTTTAGAACAAATTGTAATTGTAAGAAAATTACCCCTCTTTTCCACAATTAACATTTCACTTTTTCTCTTCGTTTATTTAAAAAAAAGCCTATTTTTAAAAGAAAAAGAACACATTTTTCACAACAATTTTCTCTCATTTGCATTTAATTCAACAATACATTTTTTTGCTTTTTAACAGGGAAAAATACTCAAGTAGGAGTAAAATATTGAAAATATATCTAAATAGAAGTTCCAAGTTTTTATTTCTGAAATATGAATTAAAATACAATTACATTACCAATCATAATCATGTACATTATCAAAAGTATAGTAAAGTGCCATGTACATTGCCACATTACCACAGTTCGAACTCTTATTTAGAGAAAAAACATAGAATTCCTATTTTGATATTTTTTCTATGTTATACTTTTATTTAGGATGATTTCTTTGATTAATACTCCGTATTTTTTATTCACTTTGTACGAGTAACAATTTAAGTAACACAATTATTAGTTATTACCACCTTACTCTCTCTCATAAAAAAATTAAACTCTTCAATATTCAAAAATCAAGAAATTTTTTATTTATTGGGGAATTTTGATTTATTATTTGATAAAATAAAATATTCTTTTTAAATCTTGTTTTTTTAGAACATTTGAATTAATTTTAAATACGTAAATTTTATTATTTCTATACCAATATTTAAATAAAATGAATTTAAAAAACTTCAATTTTTGTTTTGTTTGTAAAATATTATACAAAAGAAATACTCCTTCCGTCCCCATTTTGATTACAATTTTCTTTTTTTTCTCTTCTCGATATTTTTTGTTTATTTAGACAATTCATTGAGTATTTGATAAAATAAAATATTCTTGTCACCCCTTGTTTTGTAGAAATTTTGACGTAGTTTTTTAATACTTCCTCCGTCCCAGTGTACTTGTCCAGTTTGACTTTTTCGAGTCAAATTGGCAAATTTTGAGTTTCAATTAAATTAAAAATGTAATATATTTTAATATAAAAACGACTTTATTGAATTTATCGTATTGAGAATTTTTAAAATTGTATTTCATTATGCTAATATGCAATATAAATTGAGAGTAATTGGAGTTCAAAGTGTATCCAGTTTGACTCGAAAAAATCAAACTGGACAAATACACTGAGACGGAGGTAGTATATACTCCCTCCGTCCCGGAGTATTTGTCCAGTTTTGACTTTTGGAACTGTTTATCTAAGCACTTTGACTCATCAAATTTTCTCAATGTGTAAGCCTAAATATAGTCATGTGTGATCTTGTTTGATTTGTCTTAACATATAGATTATTAATATATAATTTCTATAATTTTTTAATATACAAATTACAAGATAAAATGGATTAAAGAAGTGTATTGGATGGTGTGTAAAAATGAAAGTAGACAAATACACTGAGACGGAGGTAGTATATAATTTATAATCTTATTAATATACTAATTTATAAATAAAATAATTTAAAAAGTAAAAAATTTATAATCAAAATAGGGAGGGAAGGGGAGTAAAGAAAAAGCTTTGTGGAAAAAGACAAATGTTAGATGACATATTGAGACCAGGCCAATCACCCAAGTAACTTTTTTTTTAATCTTTGGAGTTAAGACACATCACTATCTACAGTCTATAACTCCTATACTCGTTCTTGCCTTCTTGGTTTGAATTTACCCTTTTTACGCCCCTCTCTCTCTCCTCTGCAGCCGCCCCCCACTTGCAGGAGGGGAGGGAGGTAGAGAGAGATGGGATGGTTTCTATGCTCCGGCCAATCTCCAAAGAAGAAGAGCCACAACAACAAGCTTCCTGCAATTGATCCTAATCCTAATCCCCCAGGTAACTATTTCATCTCTTGTTTTCAACTCATTCTTCAAACATTTCTTCTTTTATGAATTTCCTCTGTTGTAAATCCATTAAAGTTGTGTTCTTTCTTGTATTCCAGCTCAATCTAAGTCTGGGTCATCATGGTCTTCACGAATGGAATTCTGGGTCTGTTTGTAATTCTGTTGTTTTTTGTCTGTGTGATTTATTACAGGCAAGTGGAAGAGTCGATCCAAGTTGAGGGATGAATCTGTGAAGGACGGAGGGGCTGACCAAATTGCAGCAAAGACTTTCACATTCCGCGAATTGGCTGCTGCTACTAAAAACTTTAGAGGCGATTGTCTGGTAGGCGAAGGCGGCTTTGGGCGGGTGTATAGAGGGCGACTTGATTCCAACCAGGTTTTCTTCATGTTATGAGAAAATTGTAACAGTTTTGTTTTGAATTGTTTGGAAGGTGGAAAGTGAGAGGAAAATTCTTGGGGAATTCAATTCGAATTCAAATTTAATTGAGATTTTACTTATATTTGTATTTCAATTAACCATTTTTTCCCCGAACCCTATGTTTGGTTCCTGGAATTTGATATGAAAGGAAAAAAAGTTCTCTCTTCATTTCCTCACCAAAATGGAAGGAAAATTGTTTTCCTTTTCTCTAGTTCTTTTCTTCTTTCATTTTCTTTTCTTTCTACTTTTCTTTTTCTTTTCCTTTCTAACCAAGCCAGAAAGTTTGTTTTCCCTCGCATTTTCTTTTCTTTTCCCCTTCAAATTCCTTGAACCCAACATAGTGGAAGTTATTCCTTACTTCAAGGCACTCCCTTTGTTTCTCACTATATTTTCTTTCCCATTTTCCCATGGAACCTTAGTATCTTTGTTTGGATAGTACAACAACAACAACAACCCAGTTGAATCCCACAACAGTAGGGTCTGGGGAGGGTGTGTGTACGCAGACCTTGCCCCTACTCGGAAGTAGGGAGGCTGTTTCCAAGAGACCCCCGGCTCCACCTGCACAAAAATATGGAAGAGAACACAGTATAGCACAGATAAGGCACCAAGTACAAGCAACAAGTACAAACAATAGCAAAAGATTCCCAACAAATACAACACACTACAAAACAACCTCTACAACACCGAGCTCCTATCCAGCTACTCTAATCCTAGTTCTCCAAAGGTTCCTACCTGGGGCCATATCCTCAGTCAGGTCGAGAAGTCCTAAATCCTGTCTTATCACCTCCTCCCAATTCTTCTTAGGTCTACCCCTTCCCCTACTTCCCCCGATAACCGTAATCCTCTCGCATCTCCGTACAGGGGCGTCAGCATCCCGCCATCTCACATGGCCAAGCCACCTCAACCTCGCTTCCCGCAACTTGTCTTCCACCGGTGCCATACCTACTTGACGTCGGATAACCTCATTCGAAATCCTATCCAACCTTGTCTTCCCGCACATCCATCGTAACATCCGCATCTCCGCCGCATGCAGACGATGCACATGAGTCTTCTTAACCGCCCAACACTCTGCCCCATATGACATAGCAGGTCTGACTACGGATCGATAGAACTTACCTTTCATTCTAGGCGAAATCTTCGGGTCACACAACACCCCTGAAGCTAACCGCCATTTGGCCCAAGCCACTCCAACCCGATGTCCAACATTCGCATCTAACTCCCCATCCGCCTGAATTATCGAGCCAAGATAACGAAACCTGTCTACCTTAGGTACTAGGTGAGAGTCAATCTTGACTTCCACCTCTGATTCTGTATCTCGGCCGCTGAAACAACATTCCATGTATTCAATCTTGTTCCTACTTATTCTGAATCCTTTAGTCTCAAGGGCAAGGCGCCATAATTCCAACTTATCGTTTAGTCCATCACGCGTGTCGTCGATAAGCACAATATCATCCGCGAAAAGCATGCACCATGTTTGGATAGTATAGGAGAGAAATGAATTTAAAAAAAACATTAATGATTCACTTGCAATAGAAAAACTTGATGGTGTTATGACTTGGGAGCAATGCTAGTGGGAAAACACAGAGATGAGCTCTTTGGCTACTTCACAATGTTATTTACTCTGTATTATTCAATGTAAAATGACGTTTGAGGCTAATAGTTTGCTAGGTTTTCTTTTTGAATGTGAAATGTTCGAACATATCTATACATTTTTGCTTCTTTGAATTGGATGTAGATTGTTGCCATAAAGCAACTCGATCGTAATGGACTGCAAGGGAACCGCGAATTTCTGGTTGAAGTGTTGATGCTGAGCCTGTTACATCATCCCAATCTTGTTAATCTTATTGGCTATTGTGCTGATGGTGATCAGAGACTTCTTGTTTACGAATACATGTGTTTAGGATCTTTGGAAGATCATCTTCATGGTATTCTCATCTCTTTTTGCTAAGGATTAAAAGATTGGATCCAACCCATTTTATCTTATTCGACTCATAGCATTAAAAGATTGAATCCAACCCATTTTTGTGTGCAGATCCTACACCTGGAAAAAGACAACTGGGTTGGAGTACAAGGATGAAAATTGCTGCAGGAGCTGCAAAAGGTTTGGAGTTCTTACATGACAAGGCAAGCCCGCCAGTAATATACCGCGACCTGAAATGCGCAAACATTTTGCTTGGTGAGGGCTATTTCCCTAAGCTGTCTGATTTTGGATTGGCCAAGCTAGGGCCAGTAGGTGACAACACACACGTGTCTACCAGAGTTATGGGTACTTATGGATACTGTGCTCCTGAATATGCCATGACCGGACAGTTGACCGTTAAATCAGATGTTTACAGCTTTGGAGTTGTGCTTTTGGAGATCATCACTGGAAAGAGAGCCATTGAAGACTCAAAAGTTGGAGGAGAGCAGAATCTTGTCGCTTGGGTAAGCGAAAAACAAGAAAACTTTTATCTATTATTAATCTTCAAGTGGGATCTTTACTTTTGCTCAACAAGTAACAAGATGATCCAATGTTATGCTGCACAAATGGTTTACTCAAACTTTGTGTGTATGCTGTGTTGGATGACAGGCGAAACCTCTGTTCAAAGACAGAAAGACGTTCACACGGATGGCAGACCCAAGGCTCCAAGGGGCATACCCTTTGAGGGGATTGTACCAAGCTCTTGCAGTGGCAGCAATGTGTGTTCAAGAGCAGCCCAACTTGCGCCCCGCCATAGCAGATGTCGTTACTGCCCTTAATTACCTGGCCATGCAAAAGTGCGATGGCGACTCCCAAACAGTACCTCAGCACGGGCCCACGGCTTCACCACGAATAATAAAGAAAGGCAGTGGCAAGAAAGGGGATGGAAGCTCTGATAGACCCAATGAAAGAGACCGAAGAACCGGAAGACTGAGATGAGATTTCAAGTTTGATTTGGGGCTGGTTCGCATGCGGTTGTGGTCTGGTTTGGTCTGGTCCGGTCAGCAATTTTGTAGGTTGATGCTTTTGGTTCTTCCACTTCATGGTGCTCTTGTGATGTCATTTTGTTGGTGTAATCTTTTTTTTTTTTTGCTTTTGTTTTTACATATGTATAGTAAAACTGCACTTGTGTGATGATGATGTTTGTATGATATTCAATTAGTATCTGTTTTTTTTGTTGTACACATTGCACTCAATAGTGTGTTAGTGCGTTTTACTCCCTTTGCCTCATTTTACACTGCCTAATATGACTGGATACATTTTTTAATAAAAAGGTAATAGTGCCAAGTAATTCAGAATGAACAAAACAGAAAACATACAATGTAAAGTGGGAATAAAGGATAATATAATTAAAGCTTCATACTAAGTTGTTTTGTTAAATGTTGCAGAGTTTGAGCAAAAAAGTTAATTTATAATTAGGATTGGTTAGAGACAACTGGATTGGGCAATAAGACACTTGGGTTGAACCACATTAAAAGATTGAATCCAATCGATTACTTAATTCAACTCAAGACCTTATATACCGATAACTTTTCTATTCAACTTCCGATGTGGGATACGATTAACTCTAACACTCCCCCTCAAGTGGACAACCGGGCCATTTTGAATCTAACCGGTTGACCACTTGTAAATGAACTCCCAATCCCTTGACTTTTTTTTTTGAGCGCCAACACCTAAAGACCACGAGTCGCTGGGTATGGACTTCCGGACGAGCAATCGTGTTAAACAGGCCACAGGCCGTTGGGTACACACTCCATACGGACAACTGGGTCGCTAGGAATGAACGTCTAGACGGACATCTTGACAAACGAGGTGGGCCAAAACCTGCTCTGATACCATGATAGAATTTATAATTAGGATTGGTTAGAGACAACTGGATTGAGCAATAAGACACTTGGGTTGAACCACATTAAAAAATTGAATCCAATCGATTACTTAGTTCAACTCAAGACCTTATATACCGATAACTTTTCTATTCAACTTTCGATGTGGGATACGATTAACTCTAACAGTTTTTAAAACAATTTTTAATACCAAAATTTTAAAACTAGATTTTTAAATCAAAACCAAGTACTGCATTAATCAATGTTAACGAAATAGTAGGAAAAAAAAGTTAAACGGACTATCTTGAGTCTTGAAGGTTTGAATTGGACTATTTTCCTTTGTTGATCCTTGCATTGACTCTCTCATTCATTGCTTCAATATTTTCTCAAATTTGTAATAATAGGATGAAGCTTATTATGAAGGTCTTGAATCTCCTTTGTGCTTTGTCATGATAGGACCAAGCTCAAGTGAGAGGGTTAGAACCATAAACAATCATAAATGAAAAGAATCTGATTGCCTTACTCGGAGAATCGTAACAGACACTAGCAGCTGGTAGCACGGTTCGAGTCCGGTTCACGGGCCGATTGCCGTACCAGTTTCAGTTATTTTATTTTTTGAATTTAATGTTTTAATGTTATTTCTTAATTTTAAATAATGTAACATTTTTAAAAAAACGTAAAACGGTAAAGTAATCAGGTAAAATAAAATTCCAATTTGAAATATATTAAATATTCAAGTTAATACTTTTGAGTTTACAATGTCATATTGAAATTGAAATTGAAATTACAATCATACTTTAATAATAACTTTAAAAAAAATTGGACGAAATATATTAATCAGAACTTTCACTGCTTCCCTACGTTGTTGTAGCTTCTATGAAGTGTTCTTCATCAACAACGTTACCCGCTTTTCTACTATTTTTGGCGTATAAATTATCAAAATATTTATCTCATTTAAGAAACATACGCCCATTAATTAATGATTATAACCATTACTGAACCTATTGAAAAATATACCCAAGTTGGTCCCTTCAATGCCTATTAAAAATGCCAAAAATTCCAACAATCTTCCAGATGAATGAAAAATTGATTGGGAAGGGCAGGGGGAGGGTCGACAACATCCCACTGTTGAAAACCTGCAAAGAACTGGTAAGTGTCTCCACTTCTGAACCTGTCCCTTGTAAAGCATACCTTCTTTACAGGCTGTTTAGTAGAACATGATGTCTTTAAACTGTACTGCCGTTTGTGTAAACGATAGTATACCATGCACAGATTTCATCCAAACATCGTTCTGTTCTCATGGTTGTGCTCATTTTGGTTGTGGGACACGCTCCTAGTTCCGCGAGAGTATTTAGAAGATTTAGGCCTGAATTCTTCATTTGAAGTGATCACACTTCACTCTTACATAGGTGATTCTTCTAAGAGTATCCCGATTACTCCACTAAGACCACCATCTCTAATTTTCAAGAATCATTAAAGTTTATTTATATGCTAGCCTCATCATTTTCGGGAGTCATTGTCTTAAACAGGAATGGAAGGGACTGACAGGGAGTGTCACTCCCATAGTGACCAACGCTTCATCTTACAAGTAAGTTGTCCCATTGAACTTGGGTACTAGCCAGGTTGGGGTTTCTTTTATAGGACTTTCTTAGCACAAGGGCTTCAAACTCATTCCTGCCACCAACTTCTCATGCAACACATTTTTTTAATCTTTTGGTTAGCGAATCCGCTAGATTATCTTTTAACTTCACATAGTCAATTGTGATAATCCTAGTTGTGAGAAGTTTTCTAATGAATTTGTGTCTACGGAAAATATGTCTAGACTTACCACTATATATGTTACTCTTTGCACGTCCTATTGTTGATTAACAATCAGAATAGATGCAAACTGGTGGGACCGGTTTATCCCATCTTGGAATGTCCTTTAGGAAGTGGAATAGCCATTCACCTTCTCACCAAATTTATCTAAAGCTATGAGCTCAAATTTCATGGTGGACCTAGAAATCAACGTCTGCTTTGAGGATTTCCAAGATACTGTTGCACCTGCTAGCATAAAGACATATCCACTTGTGGATTTCAAGTCTTTACCATCAGATATCCAATTTGCATACATGTATTCCAACACCATTCGATATCTTGAGTACCATAGTCCATAATCACGTGTATACTGTGGGTATCTCATCACACGTACAATTGCTTTATAGTGCTCACCACTCGGATTGCTGATTTGCTGGTGTGTTTACTCAGCTTACTGATGGCACATGCTAAGTCTGGTCGAGTGTAGCTCATTAGATACATCAAACTTCTAATAGCTCTCGCATACTGAATTTAAGAGTTAGGGGGCATATGTGTCAAAGTAATTATAGCTCTCACGTTGACTGTAACCTTTAATTCCTGCTATGGTTTGTACTTATCAATGGAACCATCTGGTTTCATTTGTCTCTAAAAGATCCACTTAAAACCTAACGATTTACATCCCGGAAGTAGATTCACTAACTCCCATGAGTGGTTATGAAAAATAGAATCAACTTCACTTTCAATGGCCTCTTTCCATTGAAGGCCTTCAGATGAAATTACTGCTTCACGATAGATTCGTGGTTCCTTTTCTAATGAACATGTCAAAATGTCAGGTTTGCTCTCTATTAGAAATGACAGAATTCCCAATTCAAATTCCAACATGTATGTTAAAAAATCAGGACCAAAGGACTTCTCAGTGTCCTTTCACTACAAAAAAGGAGGCAATACCGACAGGAGTTAATATGTCGCTAAAGGTTGAATATCTGTCGCTACTCGCTTTTACCAACAGATAATTGTCTGTCGCTACGCTGTCGCTAAAAACTCCGTCAGTAAAAGTATTACCGACAGATAAAACATACTGTCGCTAAAGTAGTGTAATAGCGACAGACCAAAGATGTCACTAAAAAAGAGAAGAGTACCGACAAAATATATATGTCGCTAAAACATGGATTACCGACAAAAAAATAGTGTTGGTAAATCCTTCTTTTCTGTCGGTAATACCTTGTTTTTACCAACATTAACATTTATTATAACTGTCACTAAAAATTGGATTACCGACAAAAAATTATGTGGGTAAAACATTTTTTTCTATCAGTAATACTAATAAAAAATAAAAAAATAATACTAATACTTGTATTAACAACAATACATAATACGATAACATTTCAAATGATTACAACTAACCCATTTACTAGTAAGTAAACCAACATCTCAAAATTAGTTCATCATTTGCGTATGTTTCAAGCTAAGGTATAAACAGTCAAAGTGAACTAAATTAAAATACGCATTGATATGGAAGATATAGTCCAAAGCTTCAATGCTCGTCACTGTCTACATCTTCAAGTTCATCGCTCTCAGCTTCACCATCTCTGTTCCATCAATCCTCATCATGACTTTTCTCTGTGGTTGTATTACCATCAATTGTAAGGTCATCGATTTCAGATTGATTAGCCATTGAACCCTATGCAAAAAAAATATAAGCATATGATAACGTAATTACAAATTTTGCACCAAATTTACCTTACACTCATGCTAGGTGGCATAACTTTAAACTATATAATGAAGTATACAAAAATCAAATGAAATATGGATAGTTAACAATGATAAATATATAGAGACTAACCAAGGTATTTAAAAGCAATGATACTACATCTTCTAAATTCTGGAGTCTCTCTTTTGTTTCCTAATGCTCTTCTTCAATTTTCAATCTTTTTGCTTTCTACTTCTTCAAGGCGCACCATTTAGAACAAGATTGAGGAACTCTTACTCTCATACCAAAGGTTTGTGCATATCCATTTTTGTCTTCTCCCACTACCTTTTCAAAAACTTCATCACGAGCAGGTGCACAAACTTCTACATTCTTTCAAAGTATCCAACTTCTTAAGAATTAACTCTTGTAAAATTATGAATAAATTACCAATGAAGAAGGGTATAACTATCTAAATAACAATGCAAAATTAAGGATTTGCATACTTTTAGTTACTTTTCTCATAGCTGAAACATCATCAGGTTTTGAACATTTCTTTGGCTCATGTGTCAAGAGCCATGTTCCAAGCCTGTCTACCTTATTTCTTTTTGCCTAAAAATCATGTTAAATACATCAGTTATTATTGACATAAACACATAAGGCTTTTATCGCATGATAAACAAGAAGATCATATTAACAAAGTAGCTCCACAGTTTGCAAAGCGCAAAAAATTGTGAGTTCGTGTAGTTATTTATGTATCAAGTACCTCTTCGTTAGCTTGAATACGGGCATCACTTCTTGTCCCAGAATAATGTGGAACTCGATTCTTACCTCTTCGTTAGCTTGAATACGGGCTGATGAACTAAATCCAATGAGGAATAAAAAGCTTATGGAGTGTTGAAACAGAGCTGTACGAATTCAGAACTAAACACCTACAACTTTATAACCCACACACATATAAAATAGAGCATAAAATCACATCACAAGTCCCGTTAAATCAAACAATGGCAATTGACCTAAAAAATCAGACAGAAACAGATAGATGCTGCCTTCGGTTCAATCAGTAACAAGCAAGTATAGATTTTGCCAAATACTTCAAGTTCGAACACCAATGATTCCAGATTAAACAAATACAAACTCATATTAAACGTTGACGAGGCTAAATCGAAGGTTTAGAGTTGTTTACCTATTAATCGCGAACCACCTAGACGCTGGGATGCAACCCTAGGACGCGTGATTCGACAGCCTTGGTCCTCCTCTTTTGGATGGTGTGGATCGTGTGACCAGACTCGCCGGTAAATACCGGCGATGATGGTTAACCGGCAACTAACCCTCGTCGCCTCCTTTTTCTCTCTGCTCCACTCTATCGCGTAAAAGATACGGAGTATATCAGATCATCTCCTTTTTTTATTTGCCTAATTATCACGAGGCCCAATTCTCCCTCAATTACATCCAAAACTCACCCTTTTACATATTTTAAAATTTGTATGCACAAAAAGGTTATTTTAAGTATAAAAGTATTTTTAATCTAAAAAATTATGATTTGTAAAATTCTTTTATAAATAAATATTTTTATATAAAAAGTATTTAAAAACAATTTTTTAAAAGTATAAAAAATCTAACTTTTTAAGCTCTAACAAAAACCTTAAAAACCGGTCCAAGATACACCAAAAACTTACGAAGATAAACACGAGAAATCTGGTCAATCTCGAAGTCATGACATCTCTATGAACAATGAAACAGAGAACTAAACATTGGGTAAATTGAGGAAATTTTTATTTTTTTAATATTAATTTGTAACAATTATTTTAAATTAATTAAACTAAAAACATAAAATACATATAATTGTTTTTTGTTTTTCTTTTGTTTTTTAGTTTTCTATACATTTATTTTTTTAAACACTTTTACAATTAACTTAACATACTTTTGTTATGATACAGTATTGAGACCTCCACGTTGACAGTGTCAAAGACCCATCGGGATCCATTTTCGACCCAAAATTCTGCTTTTTAGACTGTTAATTTTGTAATTTTGTCTTTTTTGGGTCTTTTTCTTACTTGTTTACAGTTTTTTTTAGCTATAAATGTCTTGCTTGTGAGCAGTTTTATGCAGACTTGGTATGGCAGTTACTTTGTTTTATGGTTTCCGATTTCACGGTCAATCTTCTGATTTTTGGTTTCCGATTTGCGGTTGACTGACATATCTTTTAACCGCATTGGAAATGGTTAAGAATCTCTACCTTATTATTCTACATCAACATGAATAATTCTACATATCTCCACTAGCGTTTTCATCTCTCTCATTTTTAATTTGTTGATTTGTTCTTTTATCATATGTCTTAATTCTATTCGGTCAGTTTAGTCCTTTAATTTTAACTTATAACTTAAAAATCTAAAAATTGAAAATTAATTATAATTTTTAATTTGGAAATATTCGATGTAAAAAATTATTTTTAATCTTTAATTTTTAGTTTTTTATATTTTAAATTTATAATTCATTTTTAATATCATTTATTTTTGTGCGACCAAACAACCAAATTCAAATTGAGGTTTTTCATTTCCAATTTCATGACCTCAATTTCGTGTACTAAACAACAACAACAACAACCCAGTTGAATCCCACAATAGTAGGGTCTGGGGAGGGTGTGTGTACGCAGACCTTGCCCCTACTCGGAAGTAGGGAGGCTGTTTCCAAGAGACCCCCGGCTCCACCTGCACAAAAATATGGAAGAGAACACAGTATAACACAGATAAGGCACCAAGTACAAGCAACAAGTACAAACAATAGCAAAAGATTCCCAACAAATACAACACACTACAAAACAACCTCTACAACACCGAGTACTAAATGATGTCTAATTTTATGATTTTTTATAATTAAGATATTTAAATTAAATGTCAATAAAATCAATACCAACAGATAAAACGTTGTTGCTAAAACTATAAACAATACCGACAGATAAATTTTTGTTGCTAATACTATAAACAATACCAACAGATAAATTTTTTGATGCTAATACTATAAACAATACTGACAGATAAAATTTTGTCGCTAAAGCTATAAGTAATACCGACAGATAAAAATTTGTTGCTAAAACTATAACCAATAGCGACAGATATTACTCTTTCTGTGGGTCAAATAGGTTCTGCCTTCAAATAATTTTATCTGTCGGTAATATTCTCTTTTTAGCGACAAATAAGGTTTCTGTCTCTAAAGATCTGTCGGTACTGCCCTCTTTTTTTGTAGTGTTTTACTTCGTTTTGGTTCAGTCTTAGCTTCAGTTTCGCCAATTATACTAGTATTAGACCGAACGAGATAACCATCAATCAAAATCTTGTCGTGTGAACGTTTAGACGAACTTGTTTCGTCTATCAATTTTAACAGTAAAATATTATTGAAGGAAGTAGCATTCCTGGATTCCAGTATCGTGTTCTTATAACGCCTCAAAGCATACCCTAAAATTGTAACGCCCCAAAACATACCCTAAAATTATTATTGAATTATTATTCAATTAAACAAATTTATTTAGATTAACATAAATTATTGTTGGGATTTGGGACGAAATGAAACATGTGTTGATATCAAATATCACAATCTAGATAAATCTCATAGAGATAAATCCAATATGTTGACTAGTTGTGTGATCTTGATTGGAAAGTAGAGTACAGATCCAAATTAAGAATAAATAAAGAATCTGTTTTCTTTTAGTACAAAAAATGATCTATGTGGCAATTTGCTATAGAAGATAACACAATCCCTACTCATTGGTACCAAATTAAATCAATTAGATAGTCTATCATATCGATTTGCCAAGCATACTTGATTTCTTTCTCCTTTTTATTTATGTATTTAACAAGAATATTACTTTAAAAAATTTTTATATTAATAATAACAACTTATATATATAATACAAAAAAAACCAATATTTTGTTCACACCCATTTTTATATCTCACATTCTCAGTCTCAAAAGTCAAACTATACTCCCTTGTAATTTATTTATTTTTGCTAATATTGTTATTTTTATTTTCTTATATTTTGGATTGATATTTTCTTTTATTTAGTGTTGTAGTTTCATTTAAAGCGATGAAATCTTATCGTGTTGTTGCCGTGTTAAATAAATATTTAAATTTTATTTTTTTTAAAAATTAAGTATTTAAATAATTAAAACTTTTTAAATTTAATTTATATTATGAGTTTAAGATATTAATTTAAAAAATGGTTGCATTAACTTGGCAAATTAGCGTATGTGCACCCTCGCTTACAGAGTTACACTAAGAAAAGTACAAAGTATGAAATTAACAAAATCTGATGTGAAAGAGAGAGAAGATGCAATTAGAATAGGGTGGGCACTTACACATTAGAATGACAACCAAACGGTTGTTTCAAAATCCCATTGGGGACTAATATAATTAATGATCATCTCGTATGCTCTAATTTAAAATGTCAATTTCTTTATTGCTGGAAAAATCACCCCGCAAGTCTTTACTATGAAATTTTCAGAAAGATCGGTATTATGGCCCCAACCTCAGCGATCAAATGGCCCGTCTAATCTCTTTGCTCGAATCATCCAATGCTGCTCAATACAATGGTATGAATATTAATTCTCATGATTGGTTGATCGATAGTGGAGCATCTCACCACATGACAAGTGATTTGTCACAAATGTATGACACTGAAGCCATACCAACTTGTAAAATAAATCTCCTAAATGATTCTAGCATTGAGGCAACCAAACATGGGAAAATTCGACTTTCCCCTACTCTTCTACTCACTGAAGTACTTTATGTGTCTAATTTGCATTGCCATTTGATCACTGAAGTTTTCTTCAAAATTTCTACGACTATCAACATCTTCTTCATCGAACAACTGTGATGAAATTGCACAATTCGACATAAACATTCCAAAACAGATTGAATGAGAATCTTAATCCAACAATATAATATACAAGAATCAAGATACAAGGTATAGATCACTAAAATAGAAGTCAAATGTGGGTATTTAAATGAAAACATAAGTAACAAATACACTGAGTCTCCGTTTGGTACACGAAATGGGAATTCAAATTATATGAGTATATATGAATTGAGTTAAATTGTATTTTTGAAATTTCTTACCATAGAACAATCCAAATCAAATTAAAGCCCTAGTTGTTTTCAAACCTGATTCAAACGCTAGCACTGCTTGCGTAATGTTAAAAAAAATTTCTAAGTTTTGTTTTCAAATACAAGTAGTTGTTTCGATATTTAAAAAAATAAAAAAACATATTTTTAAATTGAAAATTTTATGTTTTAAATTTTAAATTTTAAATTTTAGATTTAATAGTTTATATTTAAAATTTTATATTCTAACATTTTAAGTTTTAAACTTTAACAATTAAATTTCAAATTTTAAAAAAAATTAATTTTAAAACTTAATTTTCCAAATTTAAATTTTAAATTTTTAAAATTTATTTTCATTTTTAATTCTAAATTAATAAAATTTAAATTTTTAATTATAAATATGAACATTTAAAGTTTTTAATTTCAACTTTAATTTTTTTATTTTTAGTTCTTAATAATTAGTTTTTAAGTTTTAAATTTTAGATTTAAATTTTAGTTTAACAATTTTAGTTTTTAATTATTAAGTTTTTATTTTAAAATTTTAATTTTTAATTTCTAATTTCTAATACTTTTTTCATTCTCAAATCTAAAATTTTAAATTTTAATTTTAGTTTTTTAAATTTTAAATTTCAAAATTTTGATTTAATCTTTAATTTTTAGTTTTTAATTTTAGTTTTATTTTTAAATTTTAAATTTCAGTTTTTTAGTGTTTAAATTATGAGACCCATTTCTTTGTTATTACTGGAAAGGATCTGCGTGATTTGATTTTAACCTGAATAATTTAAATTTGGATTTTCAATTCTTTTCATTTTCTATGGAATTTAAATTATGGAATTGGAATTGGAAGGAACTGGTAGGAGTTGGAAGAAACTTGAAGGAGTTCGAAGTTAATTTTTCCAAGTTAAAAGAACATGATCGTAGTTAACGTTGTTAATTTAGAAACAAACCACCTTAAATAGGAGTAAAACATAGAGAAGTACCAAAATAAGAGTTTCATGTTTTTTTTCTAAATAGCAGTTCACATTGTCGTAATGTGGTACCGTACATGTACATCTGCATTATACTATACTTTTTGGCAGTGCACATTGTCAGGATTGGTAATATAAATGAATTTTAACTTCTATTTCGGAATTAAAAATATGAAATTTCTATTTTGGTATATTGTCAACGTTTTATTTCTACTTTAGTTTTTTTCCGTGTTAATTGGAAGGGGGTAGAAAGTTGATTGTGTTAAATATTTTTACCAAATGACAATTTGACAATATTAACGGTTTGAAGAGAGGTGTTTGGTAAATATAACTATTACGCCGCCTTGGGGATCACGGCTACATGCACGGTACGAGAAGGAAGTTGGTCTCCTATTTTGTTTAGGTTTCCTTTAGCATCTTTGTTTCCTTACTTGTGAGAATTCTTTTCCTATTAGGTTTAAGTTATTTCTCATTCCTATATATTAATGGGAAGTCTCTTGTAAAAGAACAACACACAAGAATATAGTAATTGTTTTGCTTCCATCTCCACACGCACGGGTTTTCACAATAACAGTTGCAAAATAAAGTAGTAGTACACAAAATTATTTGTTTTGTAGTTAGTTAATTATTACTCTCTCTAGAGATTTATACATAAGAGAGAGAAATTATACATAAGAGAGAGAAATATTGTAAATTATTCATTTTCTTCTTGAATGGAATATAATGAGACATTTATTTTGAGACATCCATATAAGGAAAATAAAACTTTTGTTTAGGGATGGTGGGAATATTAGTATTCATAAGACCTTTTTTGCCTCAACTGCGGCGTAAGGTTTGACTACACTACATCATGGTGGGACCATTCCCCGCCGCGGAGATGCTTTGTGCCTCGAGTTGTCCTTTTTTATTAGACTTTTCTTTAATTATGCATAATAAACAAATTATTCTAAACAGTTTTTATTTTCTTATATTACCTAATTAAAATAAATAATACAATTAGGTTGAAAAATGTACTCCATTTAGCTACATTGTTAAGCAACTTGAGAAAAAGCACTCTTTTAATGCGACAAAAATAAATTAAAAAAGAGAAATTTACCTAAATAGGACTAAAACATAATGACTTTCTCAATATAAGATCATATATTTTTATTTCCCAATGTAGGACCATTAGTCATTATCAATTAGTCATTATTCAATTAAATGTTCAGCATCACTTGATCATTATTCTTCTCACTAGTCATTATTAAGTCATATTTAGAGAATAAAAAAATTTAAGTCCTACATTAGAAAATAACTTATGTTTTAGTCCTATTCAATGCAAATTTCACATTAAAAAAATTAATATTAATTAATTTTACTAACGAAATACTATAGAGGTCCTGAATCATAAAGTGGCTAGATTTCAAGGTCAAAAGTCCTTCCCGATAATAAAATTGATGATTATCATTGACATAATACACCCCAATTCTAGGAAATTGTCCTCCTGTCTTTTTTGTTCCTTTTTTTAAATGTGAAAGCACTTTCCAAAGTTAACTTGAAAAATAAAACGCTGTCTTGAAAGACCAGCAAAAAAAAAGTGGTTAATGCACACGTATTTCGTAGGCAGGGACGCCAGAATTGGTTAATAAATTTTCAAAGTTTCTTTAATTTCTATTCATTCCGTTGACATTTGATTTTTCATTTGTTGACGTTCAAATTTATTTATTAGTCTCTCCATCCCAAATTGTTTGCGACATTTCAAAGGACGTGCAAAATATGATCTCTTTTAAAATTATTTTATTTCCAAATTTAATATCGAATAATTTTGATGATGATGATGATAATAATAATAATAGTAATGATAATAATAATAATAATCTATAACAACAAAAATTAGAATGAGAATAATATAAATATACACTAAAATAAATTTTTTTGAAGTTTTTTTTAGGGTTTTTAATTTTTTGAAGTTTTTCCAATTACTTCCAGTTTTTTTCCGTTCCAGTTTTTTCCAACATCTAGCTCTTTTTTTCCAATCCTAAAGAAGAGGCTCAATGTGTTGATATAAATTTAATATCGAATAATTTTGAAATAAAATTTTAAAATATCATATTTTTATAATATAAAATTATATATAAATAAAGATATTAATGAACAAAATAGTGCCATGCACGTAAAAAAGCAAAGAAAATAAAATTAGTGAAATTTGCACTAAATAAGACTAAAACATAATGACTTTTCTAATGTAGGACTTAAACTTTTTTATTCCCTAAATAGGACTTAATAATGACCTAGTGGAAGGAATAATGTCTAGAAATGATGGACATTTAGTTGAATAATGACTACTTGATAATGACCAAAAGTCTTACATTGGGAAATAAAAACATATGGTCCTATATTGGGAAAGTCATTATGTTTTGTTGGAAAGTTTTAAATAAATTGGACAATTTTGGACATAAATTCGGTAGGGTCCACAAAATTATTTTCCGAAATAATTATGGACGTTTAATCTCGTAAGTAAGACGAACGTCTTGACATATTACACGCCATAAACGGTGCTCGGGTGAATGAGAAATTAATTCTCAAAGTTGAATAAGAGGGAAGAGTAAAAGCCTTGTCCCACACCGGTTCTTGAACCTTTCGTATTCTCATATTTAAGCTTAGGCATTGAACTAAGCTTATGAAAGAAACAAGAAGAGGAATCCTCGCGCGCCGCCGCCGCTGCCGTCTGTCCGGCTCGACACGACACGACACGACACGACACGCGCGAGTCGGGGCCGGGCGGGGCTAAATTTTTACGAGACCGAATTTGAACACGTGTGGACACTTCGTAAAACGAAGTGTCGTCTGTTTGAGCATGCATGCAGAAGGAGGCGAAGGGTTGGCCATGGCGCCTCGTAATCTCCGACGGTCCAGCGAAGAGCCAAAATTCCCTCCTATAAAAGGAAGGCTTGGCTGTAGGAGAAGGACACTCGAAACACTTCTCTCTCAGTTATTCGTATACTCTTCCGACGATACCCCGGTTTCCGATCATCTTCTCCGGCAGTAACATCCCATCGTTCTCGTTCGCCGGTGCTTTGTTCTACCGCTCTAGACCTAGCACGCTGCGGTTTTATCATGGGAGGAGATTGCCCACGTTTTGCCAGTGCGGGAGGCGGGCAATACTACCTTAAGGAAAACTTCGGCGACTCCGCTTTCCTAACCTTCACTTCGAGAAACTGCTCCGGCGACGCCCAACTCTTCCTCCGAAGTGACTGCCTTGCCGTCCGTTCGTGGTCTCCCAGCCCGTTCCAGCTTCGAAGACTTCATTTTCTTCGTTTTATTTTTCGTTGTAAATCCGAACGTTTTATAAGTTCGGATCATTTTAATTTTTATTTTCCCGCTGTATTAAAGTAATATTTAAGTAAATTTCTCATAAAATTATGAGACAGATGGAGTAGGTAATTGGGAAAGTATGTTAATTCCATTCATTATTGCCCCCCGCACTCCCTCTACACTATGTTTGGTTCATGGAATTTGGAAGGAAAAGAAAAGAAAATGGTTTTCCATTAGTTTCCTTACCAAAATGGAAGGAATTTGGTTTTCCATCCTCTTAATACATTTTGCTTTCTCATTTTATTTTCCTTCCACTTTTCTTTTCTTTTCCTCTCTAACCAAACAAGAAAAAATATTTTCCTTCTCATTTTCTTTTCCTTTCCCTCTCAAATTCCTTGAACCAAACATAGTGCTAATCTCCCTCTATATATAGATGGAGTTGTGAGTGCGATTTTTAGAATTCATCTCAAAGCTAAGCATAGAGTGAGTTAAATTCAGAGACAAACTTAATAAGTATATTGCATCTGGTATATATATACATAATAATATTATGGGTGGAAGGCAGCCGGTGGTGTCACCTCCGTCGTGGTCTGCGGCGGCTGTTCCGCCGTGTTTATTAACATTATTGCTCCTCTCTCTTCTTCCACTACCGTCGCTAGTCTCTTCTAATGAAGAAGGTCCGATCCCTTCACCTACTTTTTATTATTATTATTCTTCTTCTTCTTCAGTTATATCTTGAGTAATAATACTACCTCCGTCCCAAAAAGATTTACACGTTTTGACTAAAGTTGAAATTAAGGGAGAGATAATTTTGTGTTGACTTTTTAAAAATACCATTGATGTGATGGGTAAAAGTAGGATGTGATGTGTAGATTATTAAGAAAAAGGTATGATGTGATAGGTAGGGTTTGAAAAAGTAAGGGGTAAAAGTGGTTTTTTAATAGAAATGGGTAAGAGATTGTGGGACGCAATTTTTTTGAAAGGTGTGAATCTTTTTGGGACGGAGGGAGTATAATACTCCCTCCGTTTTATTAAACCCTTCCTCTTTCATTTTTTTATAATTCCCCAAAACACTTCCATTTTCTATTAAAAAAACACTTTTATCCATACTTTTTCATACCCTGCCTATCAGATCATATTTTTTCACTAATAACCAAACTATCACATCAGGAGTAAAAACAGAAAGTCAACCAAAATTACACTTTCTTTATTTTGGTCCAAAAAGTCAAAATGAGAAGTATTTAAAGGAATGGAGAGACTATAATGAATAATCTAAATCCGTTTATCCATAACATGATTTCCGACATGCAATACTAGTTAATTACAGTACTAATTATCATATGTGGCATTTGTTACGTGCGTGAGACAGAGGATGGTTTGTTGGCGCTAAAGCAGACATTTATCGATCCTGGTGGGAGTACGGCAAATTGGATGCCGGGGACAGGTCCTTGTCACGGCACCGTTGACGGTAACAGCAATACTACTAGTTGGTCTAATATTTTCTGCGTCAACGGCCATGTTACCCAATTGTACGTAATATAATTAAGCTCATCTTAGTTGATTGGTATCAAACTTCATTATATACTTTAGGGGTCCTTAAAATTTGTGGTAATGTACTCCGAGGGTACATTCCGTCTATTTGACCGTTAAGCCCGTTATGATTGAATGTTTTAATTTGTTGCTTTGACAATTACTAAATTTTACATTGACAATCATTATTTTATTAAATTTAAATAAAGCTCTTCAATTTTCAAAGCGAAAGAACTTTAATCTTACGCCTAAATTGAAAGAGTGTACCTTCTGAGTATATAATATCACAAATTGAAAGACCCGGAGTATATTTCGGATAATGTGCGACCTGAGAGTCCTTACCAAAAAAATCGAGGATACCCGAAATATATTTCATATAATGTGGGACCTGAGAGTTATTACCTGAAAGAATCAATTCGGAGAAAATTCTCTTGTATTTCTGATGATTACAATTTACAACCAAGGCACGTATATATAGGTTCTCACAAGTCGAGAATCCTAACTAAACAAGGAAAGGAAATCCCTATACAAGTAAACTACTAATACAAGCTAAGGAAATCACCAAAACTGATATATACGAAAATATATTTCAAATATTCTCTTTCCTTTTACACCCCCCTCAAGTTGGAGCATGTAAAGAAGAAATGCCCAACTTGGGAATAAGAAACTCCAGTCGCGACTTCCCAAGCGCCTTCGTATGAATATCTGCGAGCTGATGCGTAGTAGGTACATGCAAGGTGCGAATCTCTCCTCGTAAAAACTCATCACGAACGAAGTGGTAATCAATCTCAATATGCTTCGTGCGTTCGTGAAAAACTGGGTTAGCAGCAATGTGAAGGGCTGCAGTGCTGTCACAGCGAACAGTCATAGGATTCTTATGTTCAACCCCTAGACATCGCAATAAATTCTTTAACCACTTCAACTCACACGTAAGAACAGCAAGAGCCCTATACTCAGCCTCACGAGACGAACGAGCCACCGTTGTCTACTTCTTTGTCTTCCACGAAACAGGTGAGTCCCCAAGTTGCACAAACCAGTCTGTCAGCGATCGCCGTGTCAAGGGACATGCTGCCCAGTCCGAATCACACCAACCTGTGAGCTGAAGACTGTTATCTGCAGACAGGAAAATGCCCTGCCCAGGACATCCCTTCAAATAACTGATCACCCCAAGTGCCGCAGACCAGTGATCCTCCCTCGGTTCCTTCAAAAATTGTGCTAAAGTGTGCACTGCATAAGAAAGCTCCGGTCGTGTAACAGACAAATATACTAACCGTCCCACCAAACGGCGATACGGTTCTGGATCTGTCAGAAGGGGAGCTTGGGAACGGGCCAAATGATGATTTGGCACCATGGGTGCACCTAACGACCTGGCTCCTAACAATCCGGCTTTAGTAATAATATCCAAAGCGTACTTCCGTTGGCAGAGAAATATCCCAGATGTGCTCCTCGCCACCTCAATGCCAAGAAAGTATTTCAGTGTCCCCAAGTCCTTAATATGAAAACAATCCCCTAGATATGCCTTGAACTTGCTCACCATCTCTGAATTATCTCCAACAATAATTAAATCATCAACATAAACCAAAACATGTATGACTCCTTTCTTTCCAACGAAAGAGAATAAGGAGTAATCAGGAACAGACTGGACAAACTCATAGCGTCTCAAAGCTCTAGACAACTTGGCAAACCAACACCTTGGAGCTTGTTTCAAACCATACAAAGATTTCTTCAATTTGCATACTACATTAGAAGAATTGAATTGGAAAAACCTGGTGGTAGTCTCATGTACACTTCATCCTCAAGATCTCCATGAAGGAAAGTGTTGTGCACATCCATCTGATGCAACTCCCAACCCTTCGCAGCTGCAACAGCTAAAAGAGTTCGTACTGTAGTTAACTTTACCACAGGAGCAAACGTTTCCTTGTAGTCAAGTCCCTCAACTTGATGATTGCCCAGTATAACCAATCTGACCTTATATCTCTCCACACTTCCATCGTACTTGCGCTTGATTTTATACACCCACTTGCAGCCAAGGGGCTTTTTATGACGTGGAGGAGCAACCAGCGACCACGTCCCATTAGCCTCCAGTGCATCAATCTCCTCCCGCATAGCTTTCCGCCATCGCTCATCCTGAAATGCCTTTTTGAAATTCGTGGGCTCCACTTCCTCATCAAGTGCCGTGAGAAAACACTTGTATTTATCAGAAAACTTCTCATACGTGACATATGAGGAGAGTGGATATCTACATCGTTCTCCACTATATGGTCCAGTGACATGTGTAACATAGTCCGCAAGTCTCACATTTGGGCGTCTTTCTCGCTGACTACGCCCCAAAGTCTCCACTGCTTGCTGGGAAGAGGACGATCGACTGCCATCCGTGGAACGGTCCACGGGGTCGACCGTCTGTAGCGTCGTTGGGTCATCAGGTTTCTGCCTCGGGGACGGTCGACCGCCATCCGTGGAACGGTCCACGGGGTCGACCGTCTGTAGCTGTGCGGGTTCATCAAGTTTCTGCCTCGAGGACGGTCAACCATCCTCCATGCCACGGTCGACCGTTGATTCATCTCCAGAAGTCCCGTTATTCTGTCCTGCCGACGGTCGACCGTGGTCTCCAGCATGGTCCACGGGGTCGACCGTCTGAAGCTCTTCTACGTCCCCATCTCTCGTGTCCAGATGGTCCTCCGTGGATAGATCCTCAGCATCTTCAAAATAATCGTTGGTCGGGTTGCTTCTTAATGCATCTTCTTTGGGTGTTTCACCTATGGAAAACAAGAAAGGAAAAATGTCTTCACAGAACAAAACATCACGGGACACGCTGATCTTTCCGGTGTCCGGAAAATAAACGCGCCATCCCTTCTTCCCTTGTGGATAACCCAAAAATATTCCAAGAATACTTCTGGGTGCAAATTTGTCTCCATCCCTCTTTTGATTGTGGACATAACATCTGCAACCAAAAACACGAATATGAGTCAGCGGCGGTGACCTCCCATAAAGCCTCTCATACGGCGTCACCCCCTAGCAACGACGAGGGTGTCCGATTAATCGAATAGGCTGCAGTCTGTATACAATCTCCCCAGAATTCGATTGGAAGACCGGCTTGAAACCTCAGAGCACGACCCACATTCAGAATATGCCGATGCTTACGTTCCACTCTACCATTCTATTGTGGTGTAGATACACAAGATGTCTCGTGAACAATTCCCTTTTCTTGGAAGTATTCATTCAAGCACTCAAATTCTGTACCATTATCACTACAAACACATTTTATTTTCTTCTCAAACTGGCGTTCAATCATGGCACAAAATTGTTTGAAGACACTTCCTACAGTACGCTTAGAATCAAACAAGTACACCCATACACCACGAGAAAAATCATCCACAATAGTCAAAAACATCGTAGATCCATCCAAACTTGGCGTCCGATAGGGACCCCACAAATCACAATGTATCATATCAAATTTATCCATAGATTGATTAAAACTAATGGGAAAACTGGTACGAGTTTGTTTGGCACGTAAACAGACATCACAATGACTATGACTACTCTTATTCGATCCAACTATAGGAACTAAGGATAAAACATGTGAAGAAGGATGTCCTAGACGTTTGTGCCAAAGGTCAAAAGAATTCTCCTTCGTAGCACTGCACGCCATTCTCCTCTCTTCCTTCTTTAAATAATATAGTCCTCCTTCTTGTCTACCCACACCAATCATTGTCCTCAACCTTAGGTCCTATAAGATACACAAATCATTGGTGAACTTCGCCTCACAATTCATATCCTTTGTCAGCTGTGACACAGAAATCAAATGACAGTTCAAACTTGGAACAAACAACACATTTTGCAAAGTCATATTCATTGTTAAGTCAATCTTTCCAGATTGAACAGATACTGCCCGTTTTCCATTAGGCAAACCAATTTCATATGGGGACACTCCCACCACATCATATAACAAAGATAGATCACCTGTCATATGGTTGGACGCACCAGTATCAATTATCCAACGAGGTGATACAGGAATACCTGAAAGTTTTTGAGAATTATCTGTGGAAGAAAGTGAGAGAGCATGGCGAACAACATTCCACTGGTCAGACGTTAAATCCTCAAAATTGGGCAGCGGAGACGGTCCTTCTCCCTGGACCGCGTGCACCTCACTTCCACCGCCCGTGACGGTCGACCGTCCAGTCCCTACGGTCGACCGTCCGCTGCCTCGTCCAGCTCCACAACCCCTTCCTCGGCTGTTTCCTCTTCCTCTTCCGGCCTGATCTCGGAAGATCCACCCCTCTGGGTATCCAATGAGTCTGTAGCATGCCTCAACCTCATGTCCTCCTTTGCCACAGTGAGAGCACACAAGCTCCTTGGCCTCCACCTTGTCCTTCACGGCAAATACGGACGCGCTTGCCTCTTTGCTTTCTCCTTTGTGCACCCCATTCCGTGATGTTTCATCTTGGACAAGAATATTGTATATTCTTGCCACAGGCGGTATGGTCTCTTGGGCAAGCAGGTTCGACCGCAAAGTTCCATATAAAGCATCATTTAGGCCCATCAAAAATTGATGAGAATGTTCCCTCTCACGCATCTGCGCAAGCTTCTCCTGCAAGTCGCACGTGCAATTCCTACACGTGCAAACTGGGAATCGTTCTAAATCTGCAAGATCATCCCACAGCTTCTTCATCTTCCCATAATATTCTATTACGGAAAGATTCTTCTGTTTGCATTCTGCTAAATCCCGCTTCAACTGCTGAACCCTAGGTCCATTAATGACAGAGAAGCGGGCCTCCAGATCACTCCACAGATCTGAAGCCTTCTCCACAAAAGAAATACTGGATCTCAAGGCTGGATCGATCGTGTTCCGGATCCAAGAGACCAACAAAGAATGGTTTGTCCACCAATCGTCAAAATCATCCGAATCGGGATCAAGCATCCCGATTGTTCCATCAACAAATCCAAACTTCTTGCTTGCTCGAAGAGCCAAACGCAGAGATTTGGACCATTCATCATAATTATCCCCCTTCAGAACAACATGGGTCAAAATCATACCCGGATTGTCGCTCGGGGACAAATCGTACGGGGAGATGCGTCGACGACGCACCCCAACTTCCTCTTCTTCTCGTTCCTCGTTCTTTTTGTTGGAAATAATCTTCATGCTTACTTCCTCGGACATACCGGATGGCAGATCACCAACGGAGCGAAATCGCAGTAGCGATTAGAAAGACACTGTCGTCGGGACGGTCGATGACCTCGACCGTTCTTCACTAACGGTCGACCGTTCCGGCGTCAAGCAGCAGCGGCGGGTGTTTGACCGATGGACGCGATGCCGGTCGATCAAGAGTAGTGGCCGCGGAAAATTTAGGGTTTAGACTCTGATACCATGAAAGAATCAATTCGGAGAAAATTCTCTTGTATTTCTGATGATTACAATTTACAACCAATGCACGTATATATAGGTTCGCACAAGTCGAGAATCCTAACTAAACAAGGAAAGGAAATCTCTATACAAGTAAACTACTAATACAAGGAAATTACCAAAACTGACATATAAAAAAATATATTTCAAATATTCTCTTTCCTTTTACATTACCAGAAAATACATGGTACCCAGAAATAATTTTTTGTCATTATATACTCGTATATCCTAAAAACTTTTCCTGTTTCGACCTTTTTTATCAAACAATGACATACTTTAATCATAAATAGTGAAAAAAAAGTATATTTAAAGTTCATGTTTTACATATACCGCCCGCCCTGGCCGGTTGGGACTTTTTGTATTTATTCATATATTATTACTATTAAAAATTCCGTCAACTTTTGTTTGTAGTCAGATGCCATATGGAGTTATGGCGGGCAGTTTAGTTCCAGAGCTTTCCAATCTCAAAGAGTTGAAGATTATGTAAGTTGCAGATTTTTTTTTATTTTGCCTAACTATTTTTTTAAAAAAAAATTAAAAGAAGTGACCATTTCCATGATTATTATTTTTCTTTTACAATTAATTAAGGTCATTGGGAAACAATAATTTAAGTGGTACAATCCCCCGCGAGCTGGGGAATATGACGAATTTGGGAGATTTGGATCTCAACAACAACAACCTAAACGGTTCCATTCCTTCCGAACTCTGCAATCTCCCCTTAACCGTCCTGTACGTACCAATTGCATGCATGCATTCATTTTTCCTAACAATATGGCACTACTACTTTTCATATTAATTAGAGAAAAATTTGCACCATATAAGACAAAAAAACAGTAGTATATTTTTCTACCAAGTATGTTTTATTTTCTTTATGGCACATAATTCCATATGATCTTGTTGACTTGTTCATCCTACATCGGCAATGCAGCCGTATATTGTGCTGCTATTTAATAGCAATTGGGTACCTCAACCTCTTGAGTTAACTTTCGGCGTTGAATTGGGCCCAAGTCTTGCTATATATGCCCTCATTAGCAACGAATGTTGGATAATGATTGATTATACGAATGACTCCACGAATATGGTCAATACAATATGTGTTGGATAATATAATGACTGTTTAAATTGTTTTTAATAATGTCTTATTCTACATACTTGAATTTTGTAATAGGTCATTTTTGTCAAAGGCAAAGCGTTTTAGAACTTTCCATTGTCAAACGTTAAAGTATTAATAGGAGTGGTCTTATTTAGAGAAAAAGTGATATGTTTAAGTCCTATTTGCGTAAATTGCCCTTAATTAAAATATAGATGTAACTCTTCGACCATCCAAATCTTCATTTATAGATGGATATGTAATTATGTATTACTCCCTCTCTTTTAAAACATTCTTCCCATTTCGGTTTACAAGGCTTGACAAAAATTATTTTTCAACTTAGTTTATTTGATTCTATGCGTAAAATTAAAATATAAAAGTTATGTTTAAAAACTATATTTAAATCTCTACAAACAAGAGGTGAAATAAATATATTATTTTATCAAATGAATAACGAAAATATATAAAAAAATGATCAAATTTGACCGTTTGAATAGTTCTAGAAAAAAAGTTTTAGGACGGAGGAAGTTTGAGAATGTATTATTTCAAAACCATGTTTCAAAATAAAATTATTTATATTAAATTTATAATAAAGTTCAATGTATTTTTTTTCTAATTTGTAGTCGAGTTTTAAAAAGTGACCTTAAAAGTCTAACTGAGAATATTCAAAAGGGACGGATGGAGTAACCGAATACATTTTTCAGTAGATTAAAATAAATTTTTTAATTTTTTTATACTTAAATATAACGTGATTGGAATTGTTAGATTAATAATTAAATTTTTTGGTGTTAATTTTCAAATTTTGCATTTATATACTTAATATCGAGTTACAAGGTAAGATATAATGTGATTGGTTGATAGATTAATTGTGAATGAATATAATGTGATACGCAGATTATTAAAATAGTACGGGTAAATGAGAGATTTTAATTTTAAGTAGAACTATTTTTTGGAATGGGTAAAAAGTAAAAGTGAATTTTTTTTTGGATGGAGAAGTATATGGTGAATTGTCTATTTTTAACGGGGTAGATTAATTTTGAAAATGTAATGGTAAAGGCTACCGTCGGATAGCCTTTTCAAAACGCTAACGTTAATCTCTAACACTAATGCCAAACGCGGCTGTGGAAATTTGTATTGCAGGCGGCTTAGTAATAATTCCTTGTCTGGTGAAATTCCTCAATGTTTGATGGCAATTGGAGAAGCATTGTAAGTATAAACCCAGTGAATAATTTATATTTCTTCATTGTGTCAAAATTAAAATATCTTTAGCTACTTGATCTACTTTTGTCCCAATTTAAAATTCTTTACGATCCGGAACGTGGTTTTAATTAATTAAATCTTAATTACCACAATATTATTTTTACTCTCTAGCTAGTCACGTTGTTATCATTTTTTTTAATGAAAGCATACATCGTTGTTATTTATAGAGTAATTAATTTCTCTTGTTTTTTTGTCTTGTTTTGACCGCAATTTCTCTCAATGCATTACGCCCACACTCATATACAGTAAATACGATGGCAACCCGGACCTACATCCTCCTCCACAAAGTTCCGGTTCAAGTTCTACTCCTCCCTAAAGGTTAATTTAATTTCTTATTAATGGCGTGCATAGGGAATAATTTTATGATATTTGGTGAATCATAAAAAAATTGAATTCTATTTTCTCTAGATATGACTATGACACACCCTCTAAATGAAAGGTTTTGAATTTTGATATCTTCTGAGTTTCTAAGATATCAATATGGGAATTAGATATCTCCTCAATCGTCGATTACTTCCCAGCAGCGGCTACGAGCCTACGACTATCATTGTCAACCACCCTCGTTGCTGGCTACACCTGTCTGTCATTATTCTAATCATGATTTCAAATCTATCTAAACAATTTTATTATCAAATTTCAATACCCATATATATAGTTTCTTCTAAATATGATACCTCCAAATCTCACCAAACATACCCTAAATGTTTTATAGCTTTCTAATTAGAGTTGTGCTATTGTGGCCCTAAAGTTCACAGGTGAAATGTGGTGGACCTTCTAATTGAATTTCTTTCTTTTTACAAAGTCCACGACATATAATAATTTTATGTATCAAGGTGACAAAGTCCATAAAACAAATATAGACCTAAGGACAATATAATGAAAGAATTTACATTCTAATTAATTTTTCCATTTGAATTGATACATTATATTTCCTTTTTCACCAGACTATTATTTACTTAAAACCTCGATGTAATTAATTGGTTGAGCCTCAAACATTACTCCCTCAATCCCTGAGTAATTTTTTTCATTTTGAATTACAAGGTTTTATTGAATTTCTTGTTTTCTTTAATTTGTTTAAATATTGGGTAAACATTTAAAAATAAATTTATACCAGAATATATTTAAAATTTAGACTGATTAAAGTTCTACATATCAACAAAAGTTAAAATATTATTTTTTAAATGACTAATATATGAAAATGTGAAAAAAAATTATATATACTTTTACTATGTGGATTGTGAAGAGGATGATTAAAAATAAAGTAAAGGGGGCAAGAGAGAGAGAGAGGGAGAGAGAGAGTGTGTGTAGGTGACAATGAAATTCAAACTCGATTGTGAATAATAAAAATTAATTCAACCAAAAATTTACACTGACTACTGTTTTTTTTCAATGTAGCATCAGATGGATGCTGGTGATCGCAACCATTACAATATAAAGTCTTGTTTCGATGTGGGTCGTTCTATAAATAAAGAGCCAAGAGATCAATTGGTGATGACGTCATGTGTTGTACGCCAGATCATGAGGTCGATCATCTATTATTTCTGTTGGCGTGGCTTCTCATCATCAATCATTTGGCCACGTACTCTATCTATGTGTCCACTTACATTACGTTGTGTTATGTTTTTTTTCGCCACTATTTTGTGTCCACGTGTAATACGTTAAATACCTTTTGTATCTGAGTTTATCTTTGGATGTTTAAACTTTAAAATTCACTTTTCTCTTCATACTTACAACAGGGCACTTACGGCTCCGTTCGTAAAATTAATTGTTTCTACCTCCCTAACTCTTTTGGTAAATCCCCATAACCCATCTCATCCCTAACACGCTCTTGCTGCCCCTCCAATTGTATCACTTATCATTTTGTTGACTTTGTGGTCAATATTTTACCAAAACGAAAGGTGGTGCAATTCAAGAGGGTGTAGGGTGTGTTAAACATAAGACGAGCTCGGGGGAGGGGGTTTGATATGAATATCATATAAGATAGCTAGGGAAGATCTTTGAGAATTCTTCAAGCTTCAAGATAAAGAGAGGAGAGATTGAGAGAAAGATGGAAAACTCCGAACGTTTTCAAGCTTCCAAGAAAAGAGAAGAGATATTAAAGTTTATGATATTCTTATTGTTTGATTCATAATGATAAAAGAGTTACAATATATAGAGATGGGGGAACATCATAACTGACCTAATGGGCTCAGATACTAAAACTCTAAACCCTATTAACTAAAGAGTACTTCCCTCGTCCCACAAAACATTTATAGTTTTGACTTTTAAAGGATTTAAGAGGAGTGTATTTTGGTGTTCACTTTTAAAAAATATCATTGGATATGATGGTTAGATTAATAGCAAAAAAATGTGATGTGATATGTAGGTTAAGAATTAGTTGGGCTAACAATAATTTTTTCATAGAAATGGGAAAGATTTTTTTGGAACGGATGCAAAAAGAAAGAAGAAAGATTTTGTGGGATGGATGGAGTATTAAATAATAAATACTATTTAACTATTAGTTAATTAAATATACTAATTACCATACATATCATTCTCACTCCTTAAAACCCACATTGTCCTTAAGGTGAAGGTTCCCACGTACGCAGTCCACCTAGTTACGATGGAAAGGCTTGGCAGTAGAAATGTAGCGTTGGAAATTCGAGATAAGTCCGCACATGTGTCTAACAACCCACAAAGAACCATGTATTCAAACAGTTATATGGTGCCCAACGAAATTGAGTTGCCGGCTTGGGTAAAATCTTAATTCACTATATTGTCTTCACTTCCCAAAACTTCATATTCTGGCTTGTGGGATGATTCATAACTCTGAAAAAACACATTTATTAAATGAAGTATTGAATGGAATATCCTTTCCCAATCATTTCAACAAAATGTAAGGACCTTTGTTATCTTCTTCAAAATAAAGAGACCTGATAGTTATTTCAACAAAATCTGCATCACATGTGAGTAGTTTTCAGATAATTATATGTTGAACTAAAATTGTGAAATAAGTCATTGATCTAGGCAAGTCTGAGTTGAATAAAATATTGAAATCACCAATGAGATTGAGATTAAAAATTAAGTCAATGGGAGCCTCAATCCCCTCCATTGTGAGAACTTTAGAGTGTGAGCGTGAGTCCTTGTAAGAGCTTGGATTCTACAACTCCCATAAGATTGATGTGAAACTTAGCCTAGTAGGTTAAGTGTGGCAAAAATATGCAAGATCTGAACTGAGTAAAAGAAAAACTCCACATACAATATTTAGGTACAAAGAAAAACCCTCTAAATTCCCTAGTACAAATGGTAAAACTCCACCAATAACCCACTAGAACCCTTTAGAGTAACCCCTAAAAATATTGTATGAAAGACCTTGTTGTATACAACCTTTTCCACAAGAAAAAGAAAGGACACGGCTACTAGAAAACTTGATTTGTGTTGTGCAACCCACCTCGCCAGCATATACAAAGGCTTTATAAAGTCAAGCAACAATGTGCATGAGTGGTATTCCTTGTAACTTGTAAGGCTCTTAGATCAAATGTACCTCTCTATTGGGACTTCTTCCCCTTGGCAAGACTCAACAACACGCTGCTGCTGAGACACGTAGCTACAACAGCAAGGGATGCCTCCGTAGTGATGTGGAACCCTGCATGCACAATATGTACTTCCGAAGTCAGGAATCAGCAGGGAAAGAAGATCAGAAGGAAGAGAATGAGAGGAAATTTGAGGTGAAGAAAATGTGAAGGAATATAAAATATTGCTTCATACGTAATGCATAAATTTCAGACATTTGTTAAAATTCTCTATTATGTAAGGAGTAAGAAATCTAGTTTTTTTTACTCAGAATTGATTTTCATTAATACTTTCTCATTTAAAACCAAAACATAATTTTTTAAAAAAATTCTTTTCAATTTCTCCCCTTTCCCCACCATTTTTCAGGTTATAAGCATATCCATATAATTCATATGCTAGAGAAGTGACTAAGTGAGTGCTGCATTGCTTTAGGAAGTACTAACCAAAGAAATCCAGTATCATCTTACACCCAATAAAGCCCAAAACAGCACCAATTGCAGGCTGTTCACACCAGAGACTAGATTCCATTAGAAATATATAACAAAAGATTGTCGTGACTTCATGCAAGGGATATATGATACTACCTCCGTCCCAGTGTATTTGTCCAGTTTGACTTTTTCAAGTCAAACTGGACAAACTGTGAGCTTCAATTACTCTTAATTTGTATTGCTTAATAGTTCAATCAAATGAAATTTTGAAAGTTTTCAACAAGATAAATTTAATAAAATCTTTTTTATACTAATATACATTACAATTTTTGTTTAATTAGAGTTAAAAGTTCATCCAACTTGAAACGGAAAAGTCAAACTTGACATATACACTGGGACGGAGGGAGTATATCAATAACTTGGTAAGTAATGATGCAGTTGTAATCATTATTATGAATTTTATCAATGAAGGCCGGAAAGATTTAATCAATGCAACTTTCAATGCTCATCATGGGTCATCTGGAATCGGCCGCTCTATGTTTTAAACATAGAAGTCAAGCTGCATACATCCGAACCCCCTTACCTCCAAAATGGTGGGAGCCTTTGAGGCACTGTAGTAATGTTGTTGTATTGATTCATGACATGTAGAAAAAAGAAGTCAATCTGAGACAGTAAAGGTTAGAATCTACTCCATCCCAAAATGATTCAGTACTCACAAGGTCAAACTATTTCTTCATTCCTTACATATTTTTAATGATCATTTCATAAAATAAAATAGTCAAGTCACCTCTTGTTTTGTAGAACTTATGATGTAGTTTTTAAGTATACAAATTTTATATATTGTTAGAGATTCTTGAACCATGTTGACTTTTTGAGTCTTGAATTGATATACTCTAGCCTTGCTTGTACGGGATTGATAGTGTTTTTTCGGGTATTCATAGTTGACCTCTCTTTCTAGCCTTGGACAGATAACATTCCCAATTATTAGCATTACTTTTTTTTTGTGTGATGTATACTCAAGTAGCTTCCTATGCTTCCTAATTATTATAAGTACCACTACTTGTTTTTTGTATGATGCAACAAGCATCCACCACAAACAGCATCAACTATAGTTAGGATTGTTATTGTTGTATGCTCAACTAACTCCCTCCATACTTCCTTAATTACACTTGAAAAGAGAATGAAACATCACCTGTAAATACTCTAATTCTGCCATGCTTCCAGAAATGAGTGTGTATAATGACCTTAAACCTGCATATGTAAGAATTGCCCTTAAAAGTGTAACACAAGTTGTGTTCATTAGATCAAATTTGTTACGCTCTCACTGAAGGCGGGAGTGGAGGGTTCACCATCAAACAGAATACACTACAAGATATCAACACCTTGAATGAGGAAAGGTGCTAAAAATCATCATTCGGACTAGCATGTTGCAAAATGTCATAAAAACTTCATTGCAGACTAGAGAAAAATAGAGCAAGATCCATGATTTATATCGACTTTGATTTGGAAAAACCACTCAGTTGCAATTGGATTCAAGAATCGTAACAACTTTTGGAGACTTAGAATGAAAAGAGAAATGTAGAACACCGGTACCTAAAATGGCAAAGATATTAGAAGTGAACACTACGAAAGGGTCTCTGGTAACACCAAAAACAGCTGGTATAGAATCCACCTGAAAAGCATCATCGAAATCATGATTAGGTAAAAAAATAAACTAAAAATTTCATTTTGCTCGGAAAAGAAATGACACATACAGCAAATGCAATATCACTGAGTTCAATTACGGCAACCGTGAGAAGTAAAGGTGTAGCCTGCCCAAAATGTGTGACACCTGTTAGAAATCAAGGAACAATGAATTTAAATCAAAATAACACATGAACACATCTTCTAATTTCTTTAGTTAGTTGCGTAGAGCTGGAGATAGACAAAGCTTGTTTCTCCAATGTGTAGAAGGTGGTATATAGCTTTTGATCAAAGCATAAATGTAATATTAACGTAGGCAATTGTTTTTCAAGTAGTACACCTCAAAAGTGTAAATGAATCAACCAGTAAAACAAATGCTAAGAGCAAAAGAAGACATACTTTTCGAATTCCATCCTGAATTGTAATGAATCGATTGCCATCATACTCAGCTGCAACTCCAATGAAAAAGTTAGATTACATTCAAACATTTCAATACGGTGCATCTATAAAAATTGCAATTTTAAACAATCAAGCAAGATTTCTAGGTGGAGAGTCAGATGTTTGTGGCAAAAGAGAATTTCAACACCACCTTTATCCAAAAAAGGAAAAACATTACACAGGTCGTTTTTCTCAAAATTCAAGTTAATACATAAATGAAAAACCTGATAAATTTATTTGTTTACCCTTCTTTCAAAAAAGTGAAACTATGAAATGTGGATTGTGGAATACTCTATTTTGGCCAAAATTCCCGCACATGGGTATATTGATGTATCCACATAGTAACATACTCAAAATTGACTTAAAAAGTGGGTTTTGAGGCCTTTTTGTACTGTTCTCTATCCCATTTTTCTTACTCCATAAATTTCTTTCAAATCCCTACCCTTCTGTAACTCCCTTAAGTATTACTTTCTTCTGCACACCCTCACCCACGTTTCAAGTTTCAGCAGAACTCAGCTCCACAAAATGTGCACCTTCTCTCCTATTTATAGTGGCAGCAGTGGCCAAACAGGCAGTTTTCTTTTTGTTTTTGGTTCTATGCATGTTTGTAGAGGAATTTAGGCTCGTCTTATATAGAGGTTGGAATATCTTCTAATTTACCATGTAAAACTTTAGCTTTTATTTTATGAAATTTATACACACACACTCACATTCACACACAAATTATTTGTTGACATAAAGGTTGTATTCCATAATTCCCACTTAGTTGTTCACGCCTTCTACCCATTTTAAAAAAATTGCAAGGTAAAAATGTGAACACATGCAAGGAGTACTATAGACACAGACCTAAATAAACTATACATTTAGAACTCATATGGCAATAAAACATGCACTGTCCTCCTACATTAGAAGTAAATCAGTATGAAAAAATCCCCTTTAAAGTTGAGATCCCCAGCTGGACTAGCAAACTGTATATAGACCTCTAAAATGTCAATTTCTTTTTAGCTGAAAACATCACAAAAAAAACTGTGCATGTGCAAGGATTAAAAGAGAGAACACTACAGGTTACGGGAATGAATCTCTGGCAAGTCTTTACTATGAAGTTTTCAGAAAGATCAGTATCAACATCTTCTTCAGCAAACAGCTGTAATGAAATTACACAAATGAGCACAAACATTGCAAACCAGATTGCATGAGAATCTTAATCAAACAACATACAAGAATCAAGATACAAGGTATGGATAGCAAATACAGGAGTCAACTATTGGTGTTTAAATGAAAAGATAAGTAACCATACACCAAAGGCATCTAGCATCTGAAAAACATTATTTTCCATCAAGAAATCAAGATACTTACGCTAGAAGAGCTGGAAAAGTGCATAAATTGACCATGTTATGGTTGATAATATTTCATGTATCCAATTGGGTACTAGAAGTTAATTTGTATCCAAATGGGTACCACACATTTATTTGTGCTTCAACACCATCTTTTTAGAATAGTTTAAGTTATGAGACAGCCGAATCACCACATACACTACTTCTAACCGCTTTAGAATCTCATTTTTCTAGTGTTGAGCCTGTTTGGTTTGCTAATTTACCTGAAAACACAATCTTATTTTTATAGGACCATGTTTAATAGCTAATAAGACTGATAAAAACAATATGATCATGATTACAGCAAGATCATATGCATCCTCAATTCAGATCTAGTGCCACGTAGGATCCTTCATAAAAAATTAGTATGGTGATGGCACAGACCATGATTAAAAAGGTTTGATGCCTATACAAATAAATGTTTAGTACATAAATTGATAGAAGAGAAATTTCCATGGATGCAATTTTCCCTTTGAGGAAGAGGTAAGGAGACTGGAGGAGTTTTGTGCATTTAGTTGGGGTAGTTGATTGGGAGGGGGAGGAAAGTGGATTGTGTTAAATATTTTTACCAATTGACAGTTTGACAATATTAACAGATTGAAGAGAGGTGTTTGGTAATTTAACAGTTGTAGTAGTAACACAAGTTGATTTGTTTTATAGTTAGTTAATTATTACTACCTCCGTCCCAAAATAAATGTCTTGGGTTAACTTTCACGGAGATTCAAAAAAGTTAAATTGTACGGTGGAGGTAACACAGGAGAGAGAAATAATGTGAACAATTCATTTCTTTCCTCAAATGGAATGAGACATTTATTTTGGGACATCGAAATAAGGAAAATAGGACATTTGTTTAGGGACGAAGGGAGTATATTATTCATTCCTTTTTGGCCTCTTTCAAAAATGCAGGGTAAGGTTTGCCTACATTACACCCTCATGCAGGGACGAAGAGAGAAATAATGTGAGAAAAGATGGACTGACATTGATCTGAAAGCTTCATCGCCGTTCTCTCACCGGCACTCTTTTGCCACTGTCCTTTCACCACTTCTCGATAATGAGAGATTTAAAATCAGATGGAAAAGTGTCCATATCCCTTCGCCACCATGTGACAGGGGATTAAAATCTAGAATTAAGGATTAAAACTAGATCCCTTTTCCGCTGTCAAAGTTGATGAAGAAGAAAAAAATGAGTGGGTGTGGAGGATGGTCTGACGAAGATGAAGAAGAAGAAGGGGGGGGGGTCTGTCTTATAAGAGGAAGAAGTAGAAGTGGTTTGTACGAAGAAGAAGAAGAAGAAGACTTGAATTTGCAGGAGGGGGGGAGGCTGAAGAAGAATGGGGGTCTGAGGGATGAAGGGGCTGGATCAAACGAGAAGAAAAGAGAAAGAGAGGGTAAATTAGTCTTTTTGTAGTGATAGAATTTAGAATGGAGTAAAGGAAAGATACTTGAGTTGAACCACTTTAAAAGATTGAATTCAATTTTGTAATGTGGTTCAGCCCTAGTATCTTNTTATAAGAGGAAGAAGTAGAAGTGGTTTGTACGAAGAAGAAGAAGAAGAAGACTTGAATTTGCAGGAGGGGGGGAGGCTGAAGAAGAATGGGGGTCTGAGGGATGAAGGGGCTGGATCAAACGAGAAGAAAAGAGAAAGAGAGGGTAAATTAGTCTTTTTGTAGTGATAGAATTTAGAATGGAGTAAAGGAAAGATACTTGAGTTGAACCACTTTAAAAGATTGAATTCAATTTTGTAATGTGGTTCAGCCCTAGTATCTTATTGTCCAATCCAATGATCTATACCCCGTCCTAAATTCTATCATGGTATCGGAGCCTTGTTGACTAAGAGGTCACAGGTTCGAAACTCAGCGTCACCTAGTTTAAAAAAACAAAATTAAAGTTTCACGTGCAAGGCTCGAAAAAAGACTACGCCTGCACGTGAGGTGCATGTTAGAATATAAATAACTTTTCCTGCACAAGCTTGAGCTTTTGGTTGAATCGGTTCCTTGACATGTAGAAATTTATTTGCCAAAAAAGGAAATGGGAAGAATCAAGTGGGACGACCAAAAAGGATAATGAGAATAAAGATATGGGACGGAGGGAGTATTTGTTTTCCTATCTTACCTAATTAAAATAAATAATACACTCGGGTTGAAAAATAAATTTAGCTACATCTTTAAGCAACATGAGAAAAAGCACTCTTTTTATGGGACACAAAGAAGTTGAGAAATATGACACCTTTTATGGGACAAAGAGAGTATATTGTTAAAAAGTGATAATTCATCTGCACACTTTCATTGAACCAAACTTGACATTTTTAACTCTTACATTTTCCCCTCTTCCCCCTCGCCCCCTAAATCCAAACAAGGAGAACTAATATAGAGTGCAAAAGTTTGATGCAAGAATCTGGAAAATATGGCACCTTGAATGATGAGTATAGGAGTAGCCCCGCCAATGGTAGGTTAACTGCTTCAAATCTCTAAGATAACATTGACATATTTAAGACAAACTTATTAGAGATAGAATTGTTGAGGATAGGGGTGTGTGCGCATATAAGTCCTACATTACTTGTGCACATATCTGAATAGATAGGAATCAACTGCCAACCTGAATAGTTGCTGTCCCAAGTAGTATGATAGACAACCGGAAGATTATTGCTCCAGCAATTCCATATGAAAGCACTCGATTCTGAAACAAAATGCATGGGATATTTGACTAATGAACAGTGGTGTAAGATATCCTCCCCAAACTATACGTAAGAGGGGGTAGATTCCGGACCAAAGTTTTTTAATCATGGGATAATATAGTACCTGATACATGAGTGGCACTTTAAAATACTTGAATATCAAAACAAAGACAAACAAATTGTCCACGGACAAGCTCTGCTCGAGGATATACCTGATAATTTAAGAGAATATAATGAGGTGCAACTCAATACAAAATTGTCATATTACCGAAGAGAGCAAGATACCATCTGAAGACCGAGCAATAAAGAAAAATCGTCCATAGAATAAAACAAACAAGTCCATTATGAGATTGAAATTGTTTTTCGGCATTAATAAATTGAATAAACAGTGGCCTAATACGCAACTTGTGAAATTGAAGTGCTGATAGGGAAAACTGCTTCGTACCCAGCAAAAAACTCAGATGCCTTTCCAATTCCATCCTTAGAACCCAAACCAACACCAAACACTACAGCTGACAACACCTAAAATAATGAAAGACTAGACTCCCTTCAATTAGAATGTTCAAGATCATGAAAAAGTAACTTTGACAGTTGGGCATAACCATGAGTCAATGATCAAACGGAGTACTTACACATAGAGCTACATTCCTAACAGAAGACGAATAATTCACAGACCCATCTGTACTGCAAGAGATATCAATATCGTCATAGCTATCAACTGGGCCTTTGTGTGACAGATCCGTCCCTGCAAGACAGTTTAGCCACCCAATATTAACTTATAATAACAGGTAGTACATCTGCATAGCATCAATTATCAATTCTTGTTAAGAATTTCTATAGAGATTCAATAACACTAGTTTTTATATATTCCACTTTATTCAGTGACAGAACTAGGGAGGGAGTGGCGAGCCCCCCCCCCCCCAAATATGAGTGACAGTTGTATAGATACATTAACATATTTTTGAATATTTGTTATATTTGAACATTTGGCCCTTCAAAATTATTAAATATTGAAAGATAAATCTAGTCTAGAAGTACAGTGTTCAACCAACTATTCTTTACCTTCACTAGTTAAATTTTGGCCCACTTATATCTATTTTTTTCAAAAAAAAACGACTCCGTATTTTTTGGCTTTGTCACTGATAAGCCAACCTCTCCAAGAAAAATGCTTCCCAAAATGCCTAGTTGCCTACACTTGTACCCTAGATAAAAATCCCACATAACTAAAACTAAATCCCACATAACTCTCAATCGTAACACTATGCTGTATAATCCTTCATACTATCCGTGGCTTGGTCAGTTGAAGCTACAGGGAGCTTTGCCCAGAAACTACAAACAACTCAGAGATTAGAAATCTTGCCTGATGTAGACGATTTTTCTCCTTGTTCAGTTTTCCTTGAGCACAGAATTGCAGAATCATTCCTTCGTCTAAAACTACAGCCATCTGAAGATTCAAACCCTAAATTAGCACTAATCTGCACGGAAAAGCTATTGTTTTTTTCCAGTAACACACAGTTGTAAATCATTACCTAAAAGCCGTGTTGGGTAGTGAAATGGAGCAGATTGAACTCGAAGCCGCCTGGAGTAAATTGGAGAGTTTCTGAAGGCGGCGAATGCCAGAGTTGGAGCTTGGATACTGTTATGGTGGTGCAAAATGGAAGAAACCAATTCCATGGCTTCAGACCGGCAGGAATTTCAAATCCCGGTTGAGGATGGGTTAGCGAAACAGTGAGAGATAAGAGGTGGCCGTAAGACTGGATTTGTATACATTGGGATTGCTAAGGCTTTTTTAGTTAGCCTCACCTCATGTGATCCAATTATTATTTGATCTAAGCCTTTTTTATTTAATTTAGTCTGATCTAATTTGATTTTAATAAAAATAAGTAATAAGCTAAAAAAATAAATTGAATGAAATATACCCTAATCTCTTTTATCAATGGTCCTTGCACTGGTTTTTTTCATGCTTGTAAGATGGTGGGCGTAGTTCAGTTAGTTGAGCAAATGATGTCAAATACTCGTAGATAAATTCGAGTTCGACTCTTGACAATTGTGTTGTGATACAACTATGCTAATATAAACATAGGCTCTGTAAATATGAGGTGAATGCCACATTCTTTGCCGGCGATCTATGATTATAACTCAATTTACCTCTTCTCAAGTGATTGTCCACCCGGTTCTGAAGGGCCGTCTAGATTGGGACATCATATGCACACATGTAAATTTTTTTCCTCCACCACACTTTCATGTTTTCCCTTACTTTTGCACGGATATCTTTTACGAAGTAGTTAGCACACAACATGAGGGAAAATATGGGCTACAAATGTGAGACATGAGAGGGAAACAAATTTCCGTAGTGCTAGAAAAATACGTTTCTGCACCTAAAAAATGATGTCATTGATGTGGATGAGAGTGAAAAAAGTACTCTGTAGAATGCAAACATGTAACAAGTTGCGCTGCTAGTCTTTTTGAATACGGAATAATAAAACTAAGTCTTTTGAAAATTATATTCATAATTCCAAGAGCATAACATACTAATACATGGTATTATTATTTTTTCAAATTATGGATGAGTCAGACGATGGATCGAGTAACATGTAAGAAAATAATCTTACTCACATCTATTCGTTTCATCATTCATTCCATCAATAAATTATTTTTCATTCATAGTTATTCATTTTTATCAACTACTCTATAACATATCAAGTGGGGCAAATATCCATCAGATCGGGTAGACATTACATCATAACTATATGGTCCAAATGAATACTTCTAAGTCCTAATGACCCGACCCGTTTGAATAAGTATTAAGTAAGTGTTTCTCTATGTTTATAAGCAATTTTTGATTTATAAGTCAGTTGATGATATATTTCTGTGTGTTTAAGTTGACTTATAAGTAGCTTATAAGTCAGAATAATTAAGTAGGTCTTAGCTACTTACTTTTAAATCATGTTTTTCTTCGTTTTGACCAAATTAATTATAAAATTGTTTATCATATTTATGAATATTTACAAATGAATTATCTACCATTTAAGTTATTAGCTTTCTACAAAAGAGTATTTAGCTTATAAATAACTTATAGGTTAAAAGTTAGGGGCTGTTTGGCAACTTCTGAATCGGTAAGTGTTGAACCAGAAAGAGGTCTGAACCATTAAGTGCTGAACCATTAAGAGCTAGTATATTGCTTAACTATTCAGAGGCAAATGTCTGATCAATTCAGATAAGAGGTCTTAATCATTCAGACTCTGTATAATACTTAACCATTTAGAGGCAAATCTCTTAACCATTCAGACATATGAACCATTAAGAAGCTGAAACAAACAGTCTGAACCATTAAGTGCTGAACCATTCAGACATCTGAACCATTAAGAGGCTGAAACAAACAGCCCCTAGTTATGAGCAGTAAGCACAAGCAAGGACTAGAAGAGACCCATTTGGTATAGTGCTTTTTTTCAAAAGACTGGACCGGCCCGTCCCTAGTCCCTACCGGTCCTTACTCTCATCTTCATACGGAGTAGGAGTACATTAGAATAACAGTGGAGTCAGCATTTCTGTTCGCTCCTCTACGCACATGGCCACCTCTACAGCAACGAACGCTGAAATCCCCATGAAAACCCTACCGGAGTCTCTACAACCAGGAACGGATGCATCTGAAGAACCTAACGCCGCCAACTCTCCTCCATCTAAGGTCGAATCCAAGGCGGCGGCCACCACCACGGTGGTCAACAACGTCACCGGCGAAGCTTCCTTTGATATTCAAAAGAAAATTAAGCGCGCAGAGAGGTTCGGAGTTCCCGTACAACTGTCTGAAGAAGAAAAACGAAATTCGAGAGCTGAGAGGTACGAGTAATTACTGTAGTGTGGTTTAGGGTTAGGGTTTTAGTTCCTTTTTTTTATTATCGAATTTTCGTTTATGTTTTCTTTTTCATTCCAATGAAACGAGATTGACTATCCCGTATAGACGTCTAAACCTTTAGGTTTACAAAAAAAGATTTTAAAAAAGTCACTGAGAGGGCAATTGTTACATTCAGCAGAAAGTAATAGTCTGTAAGGAAAGACTTCTCCTGCTAAGTTTTTTTCATATGAATGTATTGCTAAACTTTTTGTGCATCTTTGTGTTGTGATATTGAATTACTAGTGAAAGAGAGTCCACCGACTCTGCGATACATTTCACACCCCCTCCCTGTGTGTAGCTTCCACACAAAATAGTAAAAGAATGATAGTGACTCCATTATTTTCGTATGCAGATAACACCATCAAACATTTGAAAGTGAAGTAGTGAACCATGCCCTAAGTGCCCATATAAAAGTAATTAAATTCACTTGCAACACACACCATGTAAAAGAGCATCATATCTAACTTTACTTGAGATGTTGCCACTTTCTAATCTTAAACCCCCATAGGTGAAAAATCTATATTCCCCCCGTCTCCAAATTAACTGGACACACACATAACTATGCTTGACCGAAGTTATTTTCAATTCGTTTTCTTTCAATATTGGTGTAAAATCTTAAAATCGAAGTATGTATTTAAAAATTATATCAAAAGATTTACAAAACAAGTGATGACATTATTATATTATTTTAGCATATGATCAATGAAAATATGTAAGAAACGAAGATACAGAGTATTTTTTTTACATATGAATAGAAACTTTAAAGTTCATTTGGTGATGGAGGGAGCATGTAGTATGGATTGAATGCATCTCTTAGATTGCAATAAGTTCTACTTCAGGTGCTTTCATAGCACCTTTTTGTTGTAGCACTAGCACATGGATATGTCAATCTTGTACACTTTTGAATTTTGTACAATTTTACAATTATGCACTTCTAAATTGATTCAGATTGCATCCAGAAAAAAATTAAATATAATGGAATCATACATACTCATATATAATCACATAGAACAATCACATAATCGTCAAAAGTTTGTAGTGGTGATATTTTCAAATTTTGATGAATTTGTTCAATAGCAATGATATTGAATATGTCTGATGGTTCTTGTTCGCGTGATTTACGCAATAAAATATAATGCAAACTTCTTTTGTGACATCATAATCATATGTATACTTTTATGGTAGAAGTTGGGGTTTTAAAAAAATCGTGGAGTTTTCTATTTTCAATTTTTGGGTAATGTTCAATATATTTTTACGTAAACTCTTACTCTTTGCTATTTTTTCCACTGTTCAATTTTCAAAACCTTGAATCAATGTGATTCACAAAAATTTAACAACCTTGTGATTTATTAATCTCTTACATGATGCAGGAAACCTTGAAAGATTTGTTGACTGTTTTTTTTACCACTTGCATGCATTCAATATGTTATTTAATCTTTTATCGTGAATGATTTCATCCCTCATTTACCTATTCTCCTGAACTATTGAGACGAGATGGATCTCCAGCCTGAAGCATTCACACTAGAAGTTAAAATAATGAATTGAATGCGTGCAAGTGGGTGAAAGGCAAATCAATATGGCTTCTTTACGGATGCTCTATGCACATTGCATATGCAGTCAATAAAGTACTTTGGTTCTCCTTTATGTGAGATAATGTGCATTTTATTTGTACCATATTTTTTATAAGCAGTTTTTTTCTCCAAAGAATCACATGCGTTGCTATTCTGCCCTACAACTCTACAAGCACATGAATACTTCATGTCTGCCTAAATCACGCCCTCTCTAGTCCCCTTTTTTATTTCTTCTTTTTAATGGAAGAAGCTGGCATTTGCTTAAAATTAAAAACAAGTGGGTCCTATGATGTGATAGAGGCTTTGGTAGTTTTTCTTTGCTTGAATATGAAAACACATCTATTACGTAAAGATGCATACATAATGTAGTAGAGCATGTGTTTTAAAATGCATATGCGGTTGCACAGACATTTTTAATCATAGTAGACATTTGATGACTCTTTAAAAGTATAAATTAAATACTGATAGACATTTAAGGACTAAATGTTTGACTTGAATACCACCAACTTTAAAGTCTCCAAAAGCCATGAAGAAATATACAAGCCTACGTCAAATATACCATTTATTTTGCAATAAGTTCTTCTTTAATATTTTCCCTTGCTCAGAGAGCCTTTTTAAATAGTGAAATTCCAATGAATGGCTACGCATTGTGATTGCACTTAGTAGTTCGTCACTCATTTTTTGAAGTGGAACATAGAGTTGTATGTTATCCACAGGAAATGAATGGCTTGCAAAATGTCACAGCTGACTTCTTGATTATGCTAGTATATACTCTCTTTGTCCCAAAATAAAAGTAACATTTTTCTTTTTAGGTTGTCCCAAAGTAACCTTCACACTTACTATCATATTAACAAAGGGAATAGGTGGTTCACAACATTTGTCTTTCTTTTAAACAAATTCCAACCACACAATTTTCACTTTTCAACACTCATTTGAATTTCCTTGAAGTCAAAGTGTCAAATTGATACTATTATTTTGGGACAGGGGAAGTAAATGTTCAAGTTCTGTCATGTTTTTAAAAAAGATAACATTAGACTAGCTAGAATAAAATGTTTCTTTTCATATGATAAGACATGTATCGACTGGCTAGATTGAAATGTTTCTTTTCATAGGATAAGACATGTATCTTTACTAGGAAAGTTCTAAAGATATTTATCCCTTTCGGAATTTAGGAACTCAGTAGCATTAGGTGATTCAGGGCAATACTTATATAGCATCTTTGCATCTCTCTATAGAATATTTCTTTATTTTTAGTTTGCAAATTAATAAATTCAAATAATAGGACTTTATTGTACGTGACACAGCTATCTGGCTTGTGTTTTCATATTTATTTTAGCATAGTTCCGTAAACTTTTATTTCAGCCTGTCAGATTGGACCTGTCTTATTTCAGGTTTGGCATTGCTTCCTCGTCACCGGGATCAAATTCATCAAATAAATCAGAGGAAGTAAAGAGGAAGGCTAGGGCAGAGAGGTCAGCTATATGTATCCTAGGCAGCTAGGCTCCATTTTAATGCAGGAAATAAAAATAAAGAAGACGCTTTTAAAATCTCTTTTGTGAAAACTGATTCGCTTAGAAAATGTTTTCCTCTAAAAATAAGTCGTTCTTTGTGTTATATAGTGACATACAAAATAAAAGCAATCGGAAGAACAACTCATTTTCCATGAACGTTCAGGAACCAGGGGCCATTTAGAATCCGAAACATACTAAGGAATGAAAACAAGTAGGAAAATTGAAATGCAATAAAATTTGGGGGAAAATAAAAGATAAAGTTCAAACTCCATAAATTTAAATTTCATTTTCAGTTCAAACCATTTTATAAATGAGGCAATTAGAATCCCCTCCCCCCCCCACCCACACACACACCTAGCTTTCCGGGATCTGAACACACCCTCAAACAATCATGAAAAATATTATAAGGAGCCTTAGTATATGGTCACATTCCATAGTGTTTTTATGTAGTTGACATCTCTATCATGCTTATAGGTTTGGGATAGAGAAAATTACCCCAGCAGATGAGGAAGCAAAGAAGAAGGCAAGGCTTGCGAGGTTTGCGGGAGTAACAAAGGTTGATCCTGTGGAGGAAGATAAAAAGAAAGCAAGAGCTCTCAGGTTATACAAATGCAAAACATTAGCTGCTTTATAACACTACGTGTTTATGCATAAACCAAACAGTCCCCCCACCCCCACACCCACACCCACAGAAATTATATAGGGAGGTTCAGGGCATGTTGAATAAATCCATGTATATTTCAGGTTTTCACAATCTCAATCTGATTCTGCATCACAAATGAATGGAAAGGAAAATGCTGAGGTAGTATTTTCTTTCAATTTACTAGTTTGTGCTCTGAATCCTATGTTGCTCATCCTAAATGTTTAATCACAGGGAACCACTGATTTAGGCAAGGCAGGAGGGACCTGAATTATGCAAGGTGCATTTCAAATTTAGGTTTTGCACTTTTGCTCGAACTATGAGACACCTATACATCTCCGCGAAATTCCAGTTATTGGATACCTTTTATTTTGAAATTGAACATCCTTACCTGTCCCTTCTATCCCTCACATCTTTTTGTGAATTTTCCTTTTTTTTCCTTTTTTCCTTCTTTTCAGGCTAGCAGGTTATGAGACTGGGATCTCGCAAGCTCGACCAGTAACCTTTCATTACAGCAAGGCGTGTGTTTCTGTACTTATCCAACGCTAGAAAAGTTTTCTTAAGTACTGCGTATGTTTTTTGCTATATCTGTTTACATACAAGATATATTTTGGTGGTGACTGGTGATCCCTAGTACTGTTGTAAGCAACCTCCTTAGCACGTGTACTTTATCAAATGGCCAGTGAACAATGTCAAAAAGGAAAACTAAACTGCAGGCTGAAAATTTTGTAGATTGAGCAAATATCGCATTTATTTCCTTAATATTAGGTGCTAGAAATCTGATGCATGTGTAGTGTGCTGCTAAATTGAGATATGTGCATGAAAGATACCGAGAATGGTTTTCAACTTGCATAGCTTTGGACCTTATTCTTAGGTATAAAATCATCTCAAATGAAAGGTTTCTTTAGTGATGGATGAGTTATTTGCAAGCAAGTATAAAATAAAAAAAGTACGTTTTTATTGCATTAGTATATTAAGTAGGATTTACTTTCTAGTTGCACCCGTTGATCTTTTCTTCTTTGAACATGAGAACAATGATGTTTATTCCGTTGCGAATCTGCATACAGTATTATGACTTGTTCCAATATGTTATTCTTAGAAGTGGATGGGAAATGATGAATTTACGCTCGTCTTGTGTGGTCGATGATTGGTAGATCTTTACCTATAGTCTTTTATGTTAGGATTTGACATTGTGAAATGGCCATTTTGAAACAACTTGATGCTAAGGAGGTGGTTTTTGACTGGCTGGGATCATTGGATATCAACTGTGTTATTGTATGTACTTGGAAGGATTTTCTTGTAATGTTTTGGTCGAGTTATACTGTTCGAGAAATGTATGTGAACTTGGTGCATTCTCCACTCTGCTTCATTGGCTTTGAAAATGTTCCTTGTAGCGCTATATGGGGGTTAGGGCTGTTTGAGTTTTTGCCTTTCGGGTGCATTTCGTTTGGATTCATGGAAAAGTTAGATTCTAAATTTTAGAACAAAGTATTTTTTAAACCATATTACCATGTAGAATAAAAAAAAGTAATTAAGTTTTATGCCATTACCGTGTATGTAATAATCAAATAAATACCTTATTTGAGTTAATTATAGAGACACCAATAAATACCATATATTATACTTCCTCCATCCGGGAGTAATTATTACAGCACCCGCCAATAGTTTCGGTTTACGATGTGATACAGAATTAAAAAATAAAAATTACATATTAAAAAATTACATCAAAAGATTTACAAAACTAGTAGTGACAATAATATTTTATTTTATCAAATTGCTAACGAAAATAGAGAAAGAAAGTGAATGAAGTTTGACCCTGTAAATAGTGAATATGCATTATAATTTGGAACGGAGGGAGTATATTAATTAGGTAAGTTTCGAAAATGTCAATGAAAAGTTTATAACGTTCCTGCTCATATTGAGGGGCCTGAATAATTGGATGTAATTTTCATGATTCAAAAGTTAGTTCTTTCATTAATATGAATTTAAAATATGTATACATTAACAATGTTGTAATGATGGTAATATATACTTTTTTCCTTTGCATTATTAGAGTGATCAAATACATGCGTATATCAGAGATTCAAATATACGTACTTTCAAAGAAGGTTTGAAATAAAATAATGTTTATTTACTGATGATAGTCAAAGTATTACACAATTACCAAATAACTAAACTACCAATCACACTTTCATGCTACAATTCTTTAGCCGGACGGAGCTTCAAAAGCTTTTGGATAACGGATTTCGCAATTTTCGTGCTTTTGGAGTGCCAAATCATGATTTAACTGTGAAGTAGACACACCTATTATGTTGTTGAGAAATATTGATAATTTATTGGATTTGTGTAATAGTACACAGGTTGACTTGGTTAGCTAATCACTCAATACAAAGAAAGATATTATCTAGAAAATCCATGAGTGAAGAAATATTTATTTCAAGACTATCATTGACACCATCTGATATAAAAATTTCATTCAACTTTCAAATAGGACACCTTCGTATGAAATGATGACTAAGAAGAGTCATGGACAATCTCTGAAACATGTTGGATTATTGTTACGAAAACTAGTATTTAGTTATAGACAACTCTATGTTGTAGTTTCAAAATTAACAATTGTAGTAGCTTGAAAATTATGATATGCAACGAAAACAATGTTCTCACTAATTATATGAATAATGTAGTTTATTTAGAAGTCTTTTGAAATTTGTAAAAAAAAATACTTTTGTACCTTAAAATAATAAAATTTCTATATTCTTTTATATCATTTCGTATCATTCAAAAATGATATTAATTTATTACCGTAAATATGACCCGCGCAATGTTTGAGTGCGATACTAGTTTACATCAAAGTGTACTGTAAAAATATGTTTTAATATTTTGAGGGTTCACATTAACACATTATGTTAGTGCGATCAGATAATTTTGAAGTAGAATTTTGTGCATGTATGAACTTGGATGTACTCCTTAAAATTTCGGGATACAAAATGTAGCTTAATTCACATACTCTCTCCATCCCTAAATATTTGTCACACTTGTATTCTCGAAATAAAATATCAAGTTTTTTCAATTCATTTTATTTACATATTGGTATAGAAATAAAAAATAAAATTTACATATCAAAAAACTACATGAAAAGTTCTTCAAAATAAGAAGTGTCAAGAATATTTTATTTTATCAAATACTCCGTAACCAATGAAAACGTAGAAATAAACAAAATTTTCACGACGGCTGAAAAAGCAAATATTCTAGAGTATATATTTTAGGGGAGGGGGAGTATTTGTTTTGTTCGGAAGTCATTTTTTCCTTTTGTTGCGGAGGAACCTTGCACTCAGTGTTCTTCTTACCTGCCTCCGGCGGAGAAGCGTCGTGGCTGTGTCAGACTGTCGTCGTCCCTCGTCTTCTCCCCAGATGATCAGCCGAATAAGAATTTCTTCGAGACCCAGTTTCCATTCCTTCACCCGTTTCTCATCATCGGCTACATCTCTGGATCTACGGAATTGCATAGCATCTCTCCAAGCATGTGCGAAGCAGAGGAATCTCAAACCCGGCCGACAACTCCACGCCTTCATGCTGGTGTCTGGACTTGTGAATTCCTCCCCAATCTGCATCACCAGCCTGGTAAACATGTACTCCAAGTGCAATCCCAACTCCATGTCTGATGCTCTCTCTGTGTTCTCCACATCACCTCCTCAGTCCCGCACCGTGTTCGTTTACAATGCCCTTATTTCTGGCTTTGTCGCTCATGATTCCCCCAAGGAAGTTCTTCAGATTTACTCTGAAATGAGAATATTTGGACTGGTTCCGGATAAGTTCACTTTCCCTTGCGTGATTAAGGCAGCTTCTTCTTGTAAACAAATTTTATGTATGAAAAACTATCATGGTTTAGTGTTTAAGCTCGGGTTAGAGTTCGATTCGTTTATAGGCAGTGCATTGATGCACTCTTACTTGACATTTGGCTTGACAGAGGACGCAGAGGAAGTGTTCGATGAATTGCCTGTAAGAGATGATGTTGTTCTTTGGAATGCTATGATTAATGGGTATTCCCAGTCTGGAAAATTTGACAGAGCGGTGGAGGTTTTTACCCGGATGACAGATGATGAGGTTTCGCCCAATAGATTTACAATTACTGGTGTCTTGTCAGCCCTTTCAAACACTGAATCACTTCATAGAGGAAGGGAGATGCATGGTTTTGTTATAAGGAAAGGGCATGATGAAGGCATTGCCGTTCAAAATGCATTAATAGATATGTATGGTAAATGTAAACGAACCAGTGATGCTCTCCAAGTCTTTGAGATGATGGATGAGAAGGATATATTCTCATGGAACTCAATACTATGTGTTTATGAACAATGTGGTGATAATGAGGGAACCCTCAAACTTTTCAAGAGGATGCTGTGTACTCAAATGCAACCGGATCTTGTCACTGTAACTACCGTCCTCCCCGCTTGTGCACATTTGGCAGCTCTCAGGCACGGCAAGGAAATTCACGCGTATATGATTCTAAGCATGCTAAAGAACAATAATTGTGACAATGACTCTTACATTGACAATGCTATAATGGACATGTATGCGAAATGCGGGAGTTTGGATGATGCTCAAATGTTGTTTGACACGATTATAAATAAAGATGTTGCATCATGGAACATCATGATTAAAGGGTATGGCATGCATGGCCACGGGAAAAAAGCGTTGCACATGTTTTCTCGTATGTGTGAGAAGGGAGTGAAACCAGACGAGGTCACATTTGTGGGAGTTTTGTCGGCTTGCAGCCATTCAGGCCTTATTGACCAAGGAAGGGACTTTCTTTTGAATATGCTACCCATACACGGTATTGTGCCTCGCATAGAACACTACACGTGTGTGATTGACATGCTTGGCCGAGCTGGGCAGCTCAAAGCTGCATATGATTTGTTATTAGCAATGCCTGTGAACCCCAACCCAGTAGTATGGAGGGCGTTCCTAGCCGCTTGTCGTCTCCACGGGAATGCTGACCTAGCAGTGGTTGCCGCAGGGAAGGTGCTTGAGCTCAATCCAGAGCATTGTGGGAATTATGTTATGCTATCAAATGTTTATGGGGCAGGTGACCGTTATGAAGAGGTAACTGAAGTGAGGGAGGTCATGAGGGCACAAGATGTGAGGAAAGTACCCGGCTGCAGCTGGATTGAGCTTAATAATGGTGTTCATTCATTCTTTACTTCTGACAAGACTCATCCTGAAGGAGACCTAATTTATGCCGGATTGAATTCATTGACTGCTAAACTGCGTGAACATAATGGGTACAGCGTGGATGATGCTTTGGAGTGCAGTATGTGAAATTCCTATCTCTTCCATAATTTGTAGAAGATCAGAGTACATCTTTATGGTTAACTTTTTATTTATCATATGTAACACTTAATACCCAATTTACCCCATCAAGTATACATCATTACTGAACTTGGTCATCGACTTTCTGACTTGGACCTACTTAAGTTTCATATATATTTGGTTCTAAAGAATAAGGGTATTTTCATCGATTTACTAAATTTAAACCCAATTTGGCTCTCTAATATGTAACTTGAACCTAATTTAACGCTTTTTTAAAAATGGAAATGCAATTCATATACTTAGAGTAAAATTTGCTAGGGGACCAAATTGCATTACTGAGGAGGAAATTGATTTCATAACAAAGTTAAAGACCGATTTGATTACTAGTATGTATCCTAGGGGCTAAATAGGGTACTAGCTCTATGTGAAATGCGACAAGAGGAATTTGTTCCTTTTTCCTAACAATTAGTTCCTTTCAGAAGAAGAAATATCACAGATGTTTATATCATTCCAAAATCTTACCATCTTTTACAGTTGCCATTTGAAAATGATACATTATACAACAGTCAACCGCTTCATCCTTCCCAATAATCAAGACCATGATACAAAATATATTCTGTGTTTTTACTCATTGCATAATATAGTCACTATCCAGATCTGTTCAAATCATATTGGTTCAGTACGTCTTTAAAATGTTGATCTATTTTTTTAATGCTATTGACTCTATTACAATGTAGTATTTGTTCATACATTTCTCAACCTAATGGCGCACAAAGAGCCAATGCCTCCGCCACCGCTGGGGCTCGTATATGGTTAATTCCCCATGAATCCTGGGGAGTGGGCTTCCTACCACTCAAATGAACCATCGTGCTGTTATTATTATTATTATTGTTGTTGTTGTTGTTGTTGTTGTTGTTGTTGTTGTTGTTGCATAGACTCATAACTGTTAGCTAAGTCCTCGTCCAAGCACTTGTGCTTATAGTTAGATTGGTTAGTAAAAGTCATGTTCTATATAGACTCCAAGCACTTGTGTTCTCACCTTGTACATGCTACTGTGTTTACTTTATTTTACTTTTTTCTATCTATGCTTTAATTTTTGTGTTGGATTCTCTTGTAAACAACCTCTCTACTTCCAAGTAGAGATAAAGTCTAAGTGAACACACCCTCCCCAAACCCTACTTCTTTGGGATTGGTTTGTTTGTTACTTCGATTATTGTTGTTACTACAGGTCTACAGCTTCTATGGCTCTTACACAAGTTGGTTGTCTATACTTTTTTTTAATAGGTTGAAAAGGCTCATAATGCTGATGTACAGTGCTGATTGGAATCCTCAATCCCCATGATGCCAGCTTTATTGTCACTAGGTATACCTCTAATCATCTCTGTGAATTCTGTTGTCAATAAAAATGGAAATGACACTGTTCTGAAGGGCTCACTAAATCTATTATTGATGTCACTCAGATCTGCAGATAATACTGTCCGGCATAATCAAGTGGAGTTGGCTCACCCGTCCATACCTTCGAAAAATCACAACCCAGCAGCTCTGTGTACAGGTATGTTGATGACTGTCTTTTCCATTCTTCTCTTAGTGCACATTCATATTATCTTCAAAAAACTTAAACCTTAATTATAAAGTACATTAGACCAGATTTATAGTAGCCGCGTAAACATACTCCTTAAGTGATGAGTCCTTGCTCTACAATCATGTCGTTTCCTTTAAGCTGACATCCCTTGCACATTACTGCATACTTGTGCTTGAAGTTATGAAGATAGACACTGCACACTGCTCTAAACTCATTTTTTGAAGTGGAACATGGAGTTGTATGTTATCCACAGGAAATAAATGGCCTTCAAAATGTCAAAGCTGACTTCTTCATTATGCTAGTATATACTCTCTTTGTCCCAAAATAAACTTCACACTTCTTTACTTTCATATTAAAGGAAAGGAGTATGTGGCTCACACCATTTCTCTTTCTTTTAAACAAAGTTCAACTGCACACTTTTCAACACTTTTCTGCAATTCCGCGAAGTCAAAGTGTCAAACTGATATTATTATTTTGCGATAGGGGGAGTACATATTCAAGCTGTTTCATGTTTTTTTAAAAATTAATAAATGATGTGGTTTATATCAAACAAATATAGACTGTCTAGATTGGAATGTTTTTGTTGCATAGGATAAGACAGCCTGTATCTTTACTAGGAAAGTTCTGTTTAGAAATTGTTTCTCTCTAAAATATAGTGACACACAAAATAAAAGCAAGAAAAAGAGAAAGTCATTTTCCATGTACATTCAGGTTCCATTTAGAATCCAAAATATACTCGGGAATGAAAACAAGCTGGAAAGTTGAAATGCAATAAATTTTGGGGAAAATAAACGATAATGTTTGAAGGGGCAGAGCCCCTGGCTGGGTCCAAGGTCAGTTCAATTTTGTTTATTTTGGGCAAAGCACTGTGTTTAAAATTCATTTGAATTTTTATTTTTGGATTTGGGTACAAAAGGAAATCCAAAACGCCCTCTTTGTAAATTTTGCTGATCAGACGCGAACATTAGAGAAAGGCACCAAAAAGCAGTTCTTTTCCTTCCCCACGTCTATAGAATTTGATCGCAAGATTGGTCATCATATAGAGGTTCAAGATTATCACAATATTATATTCTTCCCACTCTGTTCTTCAGTTCTCTGAGTTGTATCCGATTGAAAGAATCATTTGAGTAGCCGAATAGTTTCAATCTGAAAGTGACTACATGCCTTTCAAAGAATAAGAATTCACGTACTCATTCAGATTATCCAACACCAGCTTATGTTTTTCATTAATTTAAGTTGATAACTCTTTTGGTTAAAAAGGGAGAGATTAAAATACTCTATTACTACAGATTTAATTTCGGGTCCCTTTGGTGGGGAGGAATTTTTTTTTGAAGAAAACTGTTTTTTGAGGCAAAATATCTTCCAAGGAAAATTATTTTCATATAATATTTTCCATTGTTTATTATAAAAAACACCAAAAAAATTTCCCACTGCTAATAAATTTTATTTACAAGATGATATTACAAAATTATATATTAAGACAAATCAAATGATATCAAATTTACATCTTTATTATATAAGTATATTTCAAAGTTTAGTCAAAGATTTTTAATTTTGACCAAAAAAGTCAAAGTGAAATATTATTGTGGGACGGAGGAATATTTAATTGGCGACAATTAATTTAAGTTGATTACTCTTTTGGTTAAAAAAAGAGAGATTAGAATATTGAGTTTTGTTTTTGTGGTTCTAATATTTGCAAACAGAATCTGGACTTTTTCTCACTTTTTTATGGTGCAAATTCTTACGTAGTTTAAGACCAATGCTCATTTTATGAACAATGGTCCATTGATATCATGAAGGAGTTGGGCTTTTTTCAACAAAGAAAAGATTCACTTGTGAGTCCATGAAAAATGTGAAAAGATCCACATTTCTCATTGTGACTTTAGGACTACAGAAAACAACTCTTTTTATGGGCTGACAAATAGATCATTTCCTTTTTGCAAAATGTCCATTTTTATCGTATTTATACACTGAGGTTTTTAAAATCCACGTGGATGTAATGACCACATAACAATTGGCCTAGAATATTTTATAATTCACAAATTTGGATTTATTTAAATAAAAATACCCCCTTTTTTTCAAACAAATTTTGGATTAGTTAAATAATAATTCACCCAAAATACGTAGTAAGTTTTATACTATGTAGTTTATTTTTATTTTTAAAGTACTTTTTCTGTTGCATTGCATATTTGCATATAAGAAGGCACTTCTTTTCCCGCTTGGCTAAATACCAATCCGATAATCTCATTACCAGACTACGAAGTAATTTTCTTGAAATTCAATGGCGGATTCAGGGGAAAGAACGAAGGGGAACACGGATTTAAAGTTATTTGACGCATGGTCGCAAGTTACGGCGCCGCCTCCTCTTCGTGTAACAAGGCTTAGTATTTTCATTATTTGGGTTTAAAACTAGAATGTAATTAAATCCAATTCTTGATATGATATACTATTTGTGTTACTTGTTTGATTACGTGGAAAGAATGAAGGTGAACACGAAACGATAAAATTTTGACGCGTGGTTGCTGGTGACGGCGTTGCCTCCTCTTCGAGTAACAAGGCTTAGTCTTATCTTGATTTGTGATTTAAAACTAGAATGTCATTGAAATCAATTATTGATATGATGTACCGTTTCTGTTATTTGTTTGATTCGGGGAAAGAATGAAGATAAACATGGAACTATAGTTATTTAACGTTGGCGCTCTAGATTTGTTGTCGGCCGGCTCAGTCTCTGGCAACGGCGCTGCCGACTCTTCTTACGGGACTTAGTATTTTCTTGATTTTGGCTTTAAAATTAGAATGTCATTGAACTCAATTTTTGATATGATGTAGTCTTTCTATTACTTGTTTGATTCAAGGGGAAAGAATGAAGGTGAACACGATACTACAATTATTTGACGTCGGCGCTAAGTGTTTCATGTCGGCTGGCACAATGGCCGACTATTGTGCCGCCTTCTCTTCGAGTAACAGGGCTTAGTATTTTCTTAATTCGAAGTTCAAAACTAGAAAATCATTGAATTTAATTTTTGATATGATGTACTACTTTTGTTCCTTGTTTAATTCAGAGGAAAGAATGAAGGTGAACATGGAACTATAGTTATTTGACGTTGGTGCTCTAGGGTTGGTGTCGGCCCACGATCGCCGCCGACGTTGCCAACTCCTCTTCCAGTAACAAGGCTTAGTATTTTCTTAATTTGGGGTTTAAAACTAGAATTTCATTGAATTTAATTCTTGATATGATGTACTGTTTTTGTGGTTTGATTAAGGGGAAAGACTGAAGATGAACACGGAACTACAGTGATTTGATGCCGGTGTTCTAGGTTTGGTGTCAGCCGCACGGAGCACGGTCGCCGCTTCCTCTTCGTGTAACACGATTTAGTATTTTTTATTAGGGGTTTAAAACTAGAATCTCATTGAATTCATCTCTTTATATGATGTACTGTTTCTGCTACTTGTTTGATTCACGGGAAAGAATGAAGGTGAATACGAAACTACACTTACTTGACGACAACACTCTAGGTTTGGTGTCGGTAGACGCGGTCCCCAGCGACGGCATCGCCTCAGGTAATATGGCTTAGTATTTTCATGATTTGGGGTTTAATACTAGAATGTCATTGACATTTTTTTTTGATATGATGTACTGTTTCTGTTACTTGTTTGATTCAGGGGAAGGAATGAAGGTGAATAGAGAACTACAGTTATTTGACGTCGGCACACTGGATTTGGTGTCGGCCAGCGAGGGCGCCACCTTCTCTTCGGATAACATGGCTTAGTATTTTCTTGATTTGGGGTTTACTCAAAGAGGAGGAGGTGGGGTCGCCAACGACTGTGCAGGCCAAAACCTAACTAGAGCTCTGACATCAAATAACTGTTGTTTCATGTTCAGTTTCATTCTTTTCCCTTGAATTAGACAAGTAATAGAAACTTTATCATATCAAAAATTTAAAAATTAAATTCAATGACATTCCAGATTTAAACCCCAAATTAAGAATATACTAAGCCCTAATACTCGAAGAGGAGGCGGCACTAGCGATCGCGTTGACACCAGATCCAAAGCGCCAGCATCAAATAATTATAGACTATTGTTTCATGTTCCCCAAAATCAAACAAGTAATAGAAACAGTACACCATACCAAGAATAGAATTCACTGGCATTCTTTAATCCCAAATCAAGAAAATACTAAGTCTTGTGATGAAGAGGAGGCGGCGACATCACCAGCGATCGTGCCGGCTAACACCATATTAAACCTAGAGCGATGGCTTCAAATAACTATAGTTGTTTCATGTTCACCTTCATTCATTGGTCTGAATCAAACAACAGAAACAGTACATTATATCAAGAAGTGAGCTCAATGACATTCCAGTTTTATACTTAAAATCAAGAAAATACTGAGCCTTGTATCCTGAAGAGGAGGAGGCGGCGGCGATTCCAGCGACCGCGCCGGTTGCACCAAACCTAATGCGCCGGCGTCAAATAACTGCAAATTTGTGTTCAGCTTCATTCTTTCCCTTGAATCGAACAAGTAACAGAAACAATACATTAATCAAGAATTGAATTCAATAACATTCTAGATTTAAACCCAAATCAAGAATACACCAAGCCTTGTTACCTAAAGAGGAGGTGGCACCGTCCCCGGTGACCCCGGCAACACAAGATCCAAAGTGCTGGCGTCAAATGTCTATAGTTTCGTGTTCATCTTCATTCTTCCCCTAAATGAAACAAGAAACAGTACATCATATCAAAATTGAATTGAATGGCATTCTAGTTTTAAACCCCAACTCAAGAAAATACTAACCCCTGTAACATGAAGTGGAGGCGTCGCTGCGCTGGCTGCTGTGTTGGCCGACACCAAACCCAAAGCGCCGGGGTCAAATATCCATTGTTCTGTAGTCACCTTCATTGTTTCCCTTGATTCAAAAAAGTGTCATCAGTACATTATATCAAGGATTTTCAATAACATTCTAGTTTTAAACTCCAAATCAAGAAAACACTGAGCCTTGTAACCCGAAGAGTAGGCGGCGGCGTCGCTAGCGACTGCTCTGGCCGACACCAAATCCAGAATGCCGACATGAAATAACTTAAGTTCCGTGTTC